CACCTCCCAGGTGAGGCATGTGGCAAGGTGAGGCCGTGCTGGGATTCTCAATCACCAGTGCCTGCTCACCTACACCCACACCGACGCCCCTGACCTCTTCCACTCGCTGCACCTCCCAGGTGAGGCATGTGGCAAGGTGAGGCCGTGCTGGGATTCTCAATCACCAGTGCCTGCTCACCTACACCCACACCGACGCCCCTGACCTCTTCCACTCGCTGCACCTCCCAGGTGAGGCATGTGGCAAGGTGAGGCCGTGCTGGGATTCTCAATCACCAGTGCCTGCTCACCTACACCCACACCGACGCCCCTGACCTCTTCCACTCGCTGCACCTCCCAGGTGAGGCATGTGGCAAGGTGAGGCCGTGCTGGGATTCTCAATCACCAGTGCCTGCTCACCTACACCCACACCGACGCCCCTGACCTCTTCCACTCGCTGCACCTCCCAGGTGAGGCATGTGGCAAGGTGAGGCCGTGCTGGGATTCTCAATCACCAGTGCCTGCTCACCTACACCCACACCGACGCCCCTGACCTCTTCCACTCGCTGCACCTCCCAGGTGAGGCATGTGGCAAGGTGAGGCCGTGCTGGGATTCTCAATCACCAGTGCCTGCTCACCTACACCCACACCGACGCCCCTGACCTCTTCCACTCGCTGCACCTCCCAGGTGAGGCATGTGGCAAGGTGAGGCCGTGCTGGGATTCTCAATCACCAGTGCCTGCTCACCTACACCCACACCGACGCCCCTGACCTCTTCCACTCGCTGCACCTCCCAGGTGAGGCACCAGCCTGGTGAGGCACCTGACTGGTGAGGCAGCTGCCTGGTGAGGCGAGTTGATATCAGTCTATAACTCCCTTCATCTTCTGATTGGTCACGCCCCACAAACACGCCTTCCCCTTCTCACCCTCCCTCCCTCCCTCCCTCCCTCCCTCCCTCCCTCCCCCCCCTCCCTCCCTCCCTCCCTCCCTCCCTCCCTCCCTCCCTCCCTCCCTCCCTCCCTCCCTCCCTCCCTCCCTCCCTCCCTCCTTCCCTTTCCCTCCCACTTCCTCCCTCTCTCCCTCCCTCCATCCCTCCATCTCCTGCAGAGGAATCACCGCAGGAGCCCATGGGGTGGCAGGCGAGGGTGCATGTGGCGCACAGCGTGGGGGAGGGGCTGCTGCAGCTGCACGTGTGCTCGCACCCCCACATCCTGCATGGCGCGCTCGTCTCGCGCAATGTGCTGCTTCCCCGCGGCCAACCCCCCCAGGCAAGCGATGCTGCCGCGCGGGCAACCTACCAACCTACCCAGGCAAGTGCGCTCCTAGGGGCGCGTGATACTATTGCTGCAGCTGCACGTGTGCTCGCACCCCCACTTCCTCCACGGCGCCCTTGTGTGCTGCTGCCCTGCTGCCAACTTCCCCAGGCAAGTGATGCTGCCCTGCAGACAACCCCCCTGGGCAAGTGCTCTTCTTGAGGCGCCTGACTTGATGCTATCCTGGCACACGCATGTGCTGCGCTACGCCCTTGTCTCGCCTGTCTTTGCCTGCCATCCCGTCCGCCCATCTAACCCTCTTGTTGTCCCCCGTCCCCCCACTGCCCCTTTTGTTCGTCCCCATCCGCCCATCCCCCTCCGGCAGCTATTCGACTTTGGCATGTCACACTTCGCAGAGACCCGCAACGACGACTTCGCCTCGCCCTACTGCCACGCGTGAGTGCCCTTCTTCCCATGCTACTGCCACTCGTGAGTGCCCTTCTTCCCATGCTACTGCCACGCGTGAGTGCCCTTCTTCCCATGCTACTGCCACGCGTGAGTGCCCTTCTTCCCATGCTACTGCCACGCGTGAGTGCCCTTCTTCCCATGCTACTGCCACGCGTGAGTGCCCTTCTTCCCATGCTACTGCCACTCGTGAGTGCCCTTCTTCCCATGCTACTGCCACGCGTGAGTGCCCTTCTTCCCATGCTACTGCCACGCGTGAGTGCCCTTCTTCCCATGCTACTGCCACTCGTGAGTGCCCTTCTTCCCATGCTACTGCCACGCATGCGCGACCTTCTTTCCATGCTATTGCCACGCATGAGTGTCCTTCCTCCCGCCCTACTGCCACTCTCTGTCGCCCACACTCCTGCACCCTGGCAAACCCCATCGCCCGGCCCCTTCCTTGCGCCACTCCCTGCAGGTATGAGTCACCTAAGTGCGGCACAGCAGGGGAGACGGACAAGACCAGAGAGATGAGGTACCTGCGAAGCAACCCGCTTTGCCTGCTTTTCCCCACACTCCTTTACCTCCTCCTCCCTGCCCCACTCCCACTCCCTGCAGGTACATCGCCCCCGAGTGCGCCACAGCAGGGGAGACGGACAAGAGCACAGACATGAGTCACCTGAGAAGCAACCTGCGTTGACCCCTTCTCCCCACCGCACTCCTTGCGTTCTCCCCACCCCACTCCCTGCAGGTACATCGCCCAAGGGTGTGCCACAACAGGGAGACGGACAATTCTGTTTATGAGGCGCCTGAACGACAAACCCAATCGCCTCCTTCTCCCCTTTTCCACTCCCTGCAGGTACATCGCCCCAGAGTGCGCCACAGCAGGGGGGACGGACAAGACCACAGGCATGAGGTGCCTGAGAACCAAACCTTGTCCCCAACACACCTTGCACCCTCCTCCCCTCTCTTACCCAACGCAGGTACATCGCCCCTGAGTGCGCCACAGCAGGGGAGACGGACAAGACCACCGACATGTACGCCTATGGTGTGCTGCTTCTTGAGCTCATTTCCGGGAAGCTTCCATACGATGACGATCGTGATCCGGTGCAGCTGAGTGACTGGGTAAGCCTTGGGACTTCCAGTCTGATACATCTCACACCAGTGGGTCTTGGGATTCCCACGTTGCTGTTTCTGTAAGGCCTTTGGGACCATTTTGTCGCTTGCGGTGCGCTATTGTGCTGTATGCCACTTCCTAGACGATCACATCCCCATGGTAGCTTATCTTGCACCCTTGAGAGTGATGCATGCGCACAAAATAGAGCGCGTGCACACACAAGAGAGATCCATGCACACAGGCATGTCTTTTATTTCGGGATCAGCCATTGCCACAACGTCTAAATGAAAGTTTATGATTCTCTGTTTCGCATGGCTGTGTGTGATGGGATGTTTCCATACGCCGTGCAGGCACGGCAGCAGGACTGGAGCAGCTCAGAGTCAATAAAGGAGCTGGTGGATCCGCTTCTAGAGGGGATGTACAACGAGGATGAGGTAAGCCCAGCGCTTCTGGCAGGCACAGATTCAACCTCAGCTCCCTTCCTAAGCCTCCAGCTTGGCCCTTTTGACTCCTCTTGAAGCCGCTCATTCTCATACTTGACATTATCTGTTTCCCAATACTTCCTGGGCAATCAGCCGTCTTTTCCCCATGCATCTCGCATCCTGAACGTCTCCTCTGTGGTTTTCCCTCGTGTTTTCCCTTGGGTCAGGTGCTTATATTGGCGTCCCTTGCAATGCGATGCATCAATGTGGATAAGAGGGAACGGCCAACAATCAAAGAGGTGTGTAACGGTCATGGTGGGGAGGATCCGTGCATGCACTCACAAGCACACATGCATGAGCACATGTGTGCTCACACATGTATACACCAACGTACACATACAAAAACACATGCGCATACATGCGCATGCTCACGCATGCACGCCTGTATGCATGCGCACATGCAAACACGGAAGCACGCATATGTGCACACATGCTATGATGCCATACTGATGTTCTTCTACTGCCCCTTACAACCCATGTCATGCAGGTGCATGATCTATTGGCTCCCATCCTGGGACAGGAGGAAGGGAGCCCCTGATAGCCGCCCTTCAAAGGCGTTTCACTAAAAAATGCCAACCTTACAAAGCCATTATTAGAGATAGAAAGGGGGACGTTGATTGCTTTTGCTGTTTCTGGGTGATGCTTCGGGTTTGCAATAACTATCGGGGGGGCGTGATCCTTCATGTTGTATTGTGCTTTTATATATTAAGAGTGAAATTGAGATGCAGTGGTGATGAGAGTTGAGGGAAGTGCTTACCTAAGTTGTGCATGAAGTGCTCTTTATATTTCAGAACGTAACATACTGATGTGCACCCTGCTGATCAATACGATATCGAAGAAAAATGCAGCCCATCGCCGCACTCGCAACAAGGCCACAGATTATCAGAGTAACCAGATGTTTGGCGAAAACAATTTGCGACGGAAATTCCATGGCTGGTCCATCATCGGATGGATATTCCGGAGGCGAATGAATGAACCACCCACCAGCTCCAGCTGCTGTTGATGTCTGCCCTGTGGCAACATCAGGCCTGCTTTCTGCCATCGATTCTTGTCTTAGTGGCCATTTCTTCTCCTCTGGTTTACAGTAGGGCTGTCAGGGTATTCTAACCTCGAATTTAGTGATTCCGAGCTTTTCATTCCGTCGCAAGCTGCTGTATTTCCTTAGCGTCACGCGCGTCGCCGCCGCAATGACGCGGCTGTGTCTCTTATTTATTGCGCTCGTCGTCGCTATCGTCTCTGTTACCAATGTCGCCTGCATTCGCGGCGAGCCTTCAGCGCACGTTTTCGCTTCAGGCGAAGAATGGCAGAGGGTGAAAGCCGCTTCGTCGAAAGAAACTCCACTCAGACGGCGGATTCTTCAAGCCAAGGTGGTCTGCCGGGCGCGCGCTGCCCTTCCCGATCCCCACTCTTTTTCCCCAGTTCCCTCTAATTTACCGTCATTCCCTTTCGTATAAATGAATAGTTCCGATATAAGAAGGCTTGTAGTCAGTAGCCTGATAGTCTTGGTTGGTTTACCGTATCGGAATGTCAGGCTCATTGTTATGCGACGGCTCGAAACTATAGGTTGCGAGTGGCATGACGTGGCATGGACATGGCCTGCTTGACACGTGTGCATTCCGAAACGGGGCTTCTCGTGACGCATTTCAACCAATGTACTCATCTTCGCTCGAGCATCGCATCGCATGACGTGTCGTGTTCTTGGTGTCGTGATGACGTGTCACGTGTTCAATGCCGCATGATTGCATGACCTGTTCTGCCACGTCAGCAGCGCCTTCGCCGCAAGCAGCAGCTGGACGACGGTCCGGGGAGCGCATTGGCGGAAGAAGCCCCGCGGAAGGCCAAGAAGCGCGCTGGGGGCGCTGCAGCGGCCGCGGAGGGGTGAGCGGAGTGGGAAGAAGGGAGGGGGAGGGGGAGGTGGACGTGGGGGAAAAAAGAGAGAGGGGGGGGAGATGGGATGGTTTGTTTATTGGGCAAAGAGGGTGCATGGAGGGGCGGAAGGGGTGTCTGAGGGAACAAGGCTTTTGCCCCGTTCTCCACCTGCAATGCAGCATTCCCGTCGCATCCCCGTCGCATCCCCATCGCATCCCCCATTCGCCCTCTCACGCGCCTTTCCCCTTTCCCCCGCCATCCGTCCCCCTTTCCCCGTCCCCTCCCCCCTCCTCCCCCGCACCTCCCCCTTACCAGAGCCGCGCAACCGCAGCCGCAGTTGGACACGATCCCTGCGCAGCTGCCCGCGCAGATCCCCGAAACCCTCCCCAACGCCGCCACGCTGCTCGACCCCGTCCCCATTGACATCCCCTCCGCGTCCGACCAGCCGTCCCTCTCCACCTCGTCGCCCCTCTCTGCGTCCCCCGGCGGCCCCGCGGACTCCCCCGCGGACGAGCTGGCGGGGCTGACCCAGAGGGTGGCTAAAAGCGTGCGGGACGTGCGGGGATATGCGAAGCTGAATATTTCGACGGCGACGGTGCAGCAGGTGAGCCACGCCACGCTGCTCGACCCCGTGCCCATTGACGTCCCATCCGCGTCCGACCAGCCGTCCCTCTCCACGTCGTCACCCCTCTCCGCGTCCCCCGGCGGCCCTGCGGACTCCCCCGCGGATGACCTGGCGGGGCTGACCCAGCGGGTCGCCAAGAGCGTGCGGGACGTGCGGGGATATGCCAAGCTGAACGTGTCCACTGCGACTGTGCAGCAGGTGAGGGGGGGGGACTTCTGGTTGACTCACAAGTCACGAGCTGGGCCAAGAGCGGACTCCCCCGCGGACGACCTGGCGGGGCTGACCCAGCGCGTGGCTAAGAGCGTGCGGGACGTGCGGGGGTACGCCAAGCTCAACATTTCGACGGCGACCGTGCAGCAGGTGAGCGACAAGGTGCAGCAGGAAGAGTGAGCCAGAGGGTGGCTAAGAGCGTGCGGGACGTGCGGGGGTATGCCAAGCTCAATGTGTCGACTGCAACCGTGCAGCAGGTGCGTGGGATGGTTCCTTCCTAGGTTGACTCAAAAGTCACGACCTGGCGGGGCTGAGCCAGAGGGTGGCTAAGAGCGTGAGGGACGTGCGGGGGTATGCGAAGCTGAACGTGTCCACTGCGACCGTGCAGCAGGTGCGTGAGATGGTCGCCCGCAGCCTTGCAAAGCTCTGTATCCAAATTGGTTATGCCCAGATGGGCCCATCAACTTGTTATCTGTACGTGCAGGCGACCATAGCTTGCAACCTCTTTCAACCCCTTGCAACCCCTTGTAACTCCTTGCAACCGCGTGCAGGTGTGCGAGATGGTGAACCACAGCCCTGCAGAATCCTCAGGACACATTGCTGCGCTTTGACCCCTTGTAACCCCTTTCAACCGCTTTCAACCGCTTTCAACCGCGTGTGTGCAGGTGTGCGAGATGGTGGACCACAGCCTGGCGCCATGGACGCGCATCCCACAGATCCGAGACGGCATGGGCGCTGCCGGCATGGTGGCTCCCAGCCTCATCAAGACCATCAGCCAGCGCCCAAGGGTGAGGGCAAGGGGCCGGGTGAGGAGGGGGAGATGTGGGAAGGGTGTGGGCAGCGTGGACGCACATCCCCCAGATCCGTGATGGCATGGGCGCTGCCGGCATTGTGGCGCCCAGCCTCATCAAGACCATCAGCCAGCGACCACGGGTGAGGGAGCAAGGGGCCGGGTGAGGAGGGGGGGGTGTGGGAAGGGGACAGCTGACACGGCATGGGCGCTGCCGGCATGGTGGCGCCCAGCCTCATCAAGACCATCAGCCAGCGCCCCCGGGTGAGAAAAGAGGGGGATTGGGGAGTGGTGGGGGGTTGAGGGCGGGGGTTGAGATGGTGGCCATGTCAAGGCCAGGCCATCAGGCAGCGAGCGTGGGTGAAATAGGGGGGTGGCAGGGGGGTGAGAGGACGGGGAACAGGAGGCCACGTGAGGGTGGTGGTAGACGGCTCTATCGTTGGCTGCGTTGTCTCGTTCCCCTTCGCCATCCCCACCCTCCTCCCTCCCCCATCCTTTTCACCCCACCTTCTCCATCTTCAACCTCCATCTTCCTCCCCCCCTCAGTCCATGTCATGTGCGGGCCACGTGAGGGTGCTGTACGGGTCTGTCTATTTCCTTCCTCCTTTGCACACCTAGTTCTCCCCCTCTCCCCTTTGCATTTCCTCCCTCCTCTCCGCACTCCCCCCACACCTGGTGTCCTGCTCCCATCCCTCCCTCCCCCATTTCCTCCCCATCCCTTCCCCCAATTCCGTTTCACCCCCCCTCCCATCAGTTCATGTCATGTGCGGGCCACGTGAGGGTGGTGGATGGCTCGGTCTATTTCCTCCTTTGCACACCCCATTCTCCGCCCTCTAACTTTTGTGCTTCCCCCCTGCCCTCTGCCCTCCCCCTCCCATCAGTTCATGTCATGTGCGGGCCACGTGAGGGTGGTGGACGGGTCGGTCTATTTCCGGCTGGGCAAATTCATCACCATCCCCTACCGCGTCAGGCGTTTCCTGCAAATTGTGCAGACCATCCAGGTGGGTGTCATATCAGTTGAGGCGCCTTACAAGTCGACTCAAGAGTGCCCTCCAAGTGAGCGAGAGTCAATCAAGGCCCCTCCAAAGCCATCCCCTCCTGCAAACTGTGCATACCATCCAGGTGAGTGCTGCTCCAGGGCCCTAGCCATGTGCCTCCTGCAAACTGTGCATACCATCCAGGTGAGTGTTGCTCCAGGGCCCTAGCCATGTGCCTCCTGCAAACTGTGCATACCATCCAGGTGAGTGTTGCTCCAGGGCCCTAGCCATGTGCCTCCTGCAAACTGTGCATACCATCCAGGTGAGTGTTGCTCCAGGGCCCTAGCCATGTGCCTCCTGCAAACTGTGCATACCATCCAGGTTAGTGTTGCTCCAGGGCCCTAGCCATGTGCCTCCTGCAAACTGTGCATACCATCCAGGTGAGTGTTGCTCCAGGGCCCTAGCCATGTGCCTCCTGCAAACTGTGCATACCATCCAGGTGAGTGCTGCTCCAGGGCCCTAGCCATGTGCCTCCTGCAAACTGTGCATACCATCCAGGTGAGTGCTGCTCCAGGGCCCTAGCCATGTGCCTCCTGCAAACTGTGCATACCATCCAGGTGAGTGCTGCTCCAGGGCCCTAGCCATGTGCCTCCTGCAAACTGTGCATACCATCCAGGTGAGTGCTGCTCCAGGGCCCTAGCCATGTGCCTCCTGCAAACTGTGCATACCATCCAGGTGAGTGCTGCTCCAGGGCCCTAGCCATGTGCCTCCTGCAAACTGTGCATACCATCCAGGTGAGTGCTGCTCCAGGGCCCTAGCCATGTGCCTCCTGCAAACTGTGCATACCATCCAGGTGAGTGCTGCTCCAGGGCCCTAGCCATGTGCCTCCTGCAAACTGTGCATACCATCCAGGTGAGTGTTGCTCCAGGGCCCTAGCCATGTGCCTCCTGCAAACTGTGCATACCATCCAGGTGAGTGCTGCTCCAGGGCCCTAGCCATGTGCCTCCTGCAAACTGTGCATACCATCCAGGTGAGTGCTGCTCCAGGGCCCTAGCCATGTGCCTCCTGCAAACTGTGCATACCATCCAGGTGAGTGCTGCTCCAGGGCCCTAGCCATGTGCCTCCTGCAAACTGTGCATACCATCCAGGTGAGTGCTGCTCCAGGGCCCTAGCCATGTGCCTCCTGCAAACTGTGCATACCATCCAGGTGAGTGTTGCTCCAGGGCCCTAGCCATGTGCCTCCTGCAAACTGTGCATACCATCCAGGTGAGTGTTGCTCCAGGGCCCTAGCCATGTGCCTCCTGCAAACTGTGCATACCATCCAGGTGAGTGTTGCTCCAGGGCCCTAGCCATGTGCCTCCTGCAAACTGTGCATACCATCCAGGTGAGTGCTGCTCCAGGGCCCTAGCCATGTGCCTCCTGCAAACTGTGCATACCATCCAGGTTAGTGTTGCTCCAGGGCCCTAGCCATGTGCCTCCTGCAAACTGTGCATACCATCCAGGTGAGTGCTGCTCCAGGGCCCTAGCCATGTGCCTCCTGCAAACTGTGCATACCATCCAGGTGAGTGTTGCTCCAGGGCCCTAGCCATGTGCCTCCTGCAAACTGTGCATACCATCCAGGTGAGTGTTGCTCCAGGGCCCTAGCCATGTGCCTCCTGCAAACTGTGCATACCATCCAGGTGAGTGTTGCTCCAGGGCCCTAGCCATGTGCCTCCTGCAAACTGTGCATACCATCCAGGTGAGTGTTGCTCCAGGGCCCTAGCCATGTGCCTCCTGCAAACTGTGCATACCATCCAGGTGAGTGCTGCTCCAGGGCCCTAGCCATGTGCCTCCTGCAAACTGTGCATACCATCCAGGTGCGTGTTGCTCCAGGGCCCTAGCCATGTGCCTCCTGCAAACTGTGCATACCATCCAGGTGAGTGTTGCTCCAGGGCCCTAGCCATGTGCCTCCTGCAAACTGTGCATACCATCCAGGTGAGTGCTGCTCCAGGGCCCTGGCCATGTGCCTCCTGCAAACTGTGCATACCATCCAGGTGAGTGCTGCTCCAGGGCCCTAGCCATGTGCCTCCTGCAAACTGTGCATACCATCCAGGTGAGTGTTGCTCCAGGGCCCTAGCCATGTGCCTCCTGCAAACTGTGCATACCATCCAGGTGAGTGCTGCTCCAGGGCCCTAGCCATGTGCCTCCTGCAAACTGTGCATACCATCCAGGTGAGTGTTGCTCCAGGGCCCTAGCCATGTGCCTCCTGCAAACTGTGCATACCATCCAGGTGAGTGTTGCTCCAGGGCCCTAGCCATGTGCCTCCTGCAAACTGTGCATACCATCCAGGTGAGTGTTGCTCCAGGGCCCTAGCCATGTGCCTCCTGCAAACTGTGCATACCATCCAGGTGAGTGTTGCTCCAGGGCCCTAGCCATGTGCCTCCTGCAAACTGTGCATACCATCCAGGTGAGTGCTGCTCCAGGGCCCTAGCCATGTGCCTCCTGCAAACTGTGCATACCATCCAGGTGAGTGTTGCTCCAGGGCCCTAGCCATGTGCCTCCTGCAAACTGTGCATACCATCCAGGTGAGTGCTGCTCCAGGGCCCTAGCCATGTGCCTCCTGCAAACTGTGCATACCATCCAGGTGAGTGTTGCTCCAGGGCCCTAGCCATGTGCCTCCTGCAAACTGTGCATACCATCCAGGTGAGTGTTGCTCCAGGGCCCTAGCCATGTGCCTCCTGCAAACTGTGCATACCATCCAGGTGAGTGTTGCTCCAGGGCCCTAGCCATGTGCCTCCTGCAAACTGTGCATACCATCCAGGTGAGTGCTGCTCCAGGGCCCTAGCCATGTGCCTCCTGCAAACTGTGCATACCATCCAGGTGAGTGCTGCTCCAGGGCCCTAGCCATGTGCCTCCTGCAAACTGTGCATACCATCCAGGTGAGTGCTGCTCCAGGGCCCTAGCCATGTGCCTCCTGCAAACTGTGCATACCATCCAGGTGAGTGCTGCTCCAGGGCCCTAGCCATGTGCCTCCTGCAAACTGTGCATACCATCCAGGTGAGTGTTGCTCCAGGGCCCTAGCCATGTGCCTCCTGCAAACTGTGCATACCATCCAGGTGAGTGTTGCTCCAGGGCCCTAGCCATGTGCCTCCTGCAAACTGTGCATACCATCCAGGTGAGTGTTGCTCCAGGGCCCTAGCCATGTGCCTCCTGCAAACTGTGCATACCATCCAGGTGAGTGCTGCTCCAGGGCCCTAGCCATGTGCCTCCTGCAAACTGTGCATACCATCCAGGTGAGTGCTGCTCCAGGGCCCTAGCCATGTGCCTCCTGCAAACTGTGCATACCATCCAGGTGAGTGTTGCTCCAGGGCCCTAGCCATGTGCCTCCTGCAAACTGTGCATACCATCCAGGTGAGTGTTGCTCCAGGGCCCTAGCCATGTGCCTCCTGCAAACTGTGCATACCATCCAGGTGAGTGTTGCTCCAGGGCCCTAGCCATGTGCCTCCTGCAAACTGTGCATACCATCCAGGTGAGTGTTGCTCCAGGGCCCTAGCCATGTGCCTCCTGCAAACTGTGCATACCATCCAGGTGAGTGTTGCTCCAGGGCCCTAGCCATGTGCCTCCTGCAAACTGTGCATACCATCCAGGTGAGTGCTGCTCCAGGGCCCTAGCCATGTGCCTCCTGCAAACTGTGCATACCATCCAGGTGAGTGTTGCTCCAGGGCCCTAGCCATGTGCCTCCTGCAAACTGTGCATACCATCCAGGTGAGTGTTGCTCCAGGGCCCTAGCCATGTGCCTCCTGCAAACTGTGCATACCATCCAGGTGAGTGTTGCTCCAGGGCCCTAGCCATGTGCCTCCTGCAAACTGTGCATACCATCCAGGTGAGTGCTGCTCCAGGGCCCTAGCCATGTGCCTCCTGCAAACTGTGCATACCATCCAGGTGAGTGTTGCTCCAGGGCCCTAGCCATGTGCCTCCTGCAAACTGTGCATACCATCCAGGTGAGTGTTGCTCCAGGGCCCTAGCCATGTGCCTCCTGCAAACTGTGCATACCATCCAGGTGAGTGCTGCTCCAGGGCCCTAGCCATGTGCCTCCTGCAAACTGTGCATACCATCCAGGTGAGTGTTGCTCCAGGGCCCTAGCCATGTGCCTCCTGCAAACTGTGCATACCATCCAGGTGAGTGCTGCTCCAGGGCCCTAGCCATGTGCCTCCTGCAAACTGTGCATACCATCCAGGTGAGTGTTGCTCCAGGGCCCTAGCCATGTGCCTCCTGCAAACTGTGCATACCATCCAGGTGAGTGTTGCTCCAGGGCCCTAGCCATGTGCCTCCTGCAAACTGTGCATACCATCCAGGTGAGTGTTGCTCCAGGGCCCTAGCCATGTGCCTCCTGCAAACTGTGCATACCATCCAGGTGAGTGCTGCTCCAGGGCCCTAGCCATGTGCCTCCTGCAAACTGTGCATACCATCCAGGTGAGTGTTGCTCCAGGGCCCTAGCCATGTGCCTCCTGCAAACTGTGCATACCATCCAGGTGAGTGCTGCTCCAGGGCCCTAGCCATGTGCCTCCTGCAAACTGTGCATACCATCCAGGTGAGTGTTGCTCCAGGGCCCTAGCCATGTGCCTCCTGCAAACTGTGCATACCATCCAGGTGAGTGTTGCTCCAGGGCCCTAGCCATGTGCCTCCTGCAAACTGTGCATACCATCCAGGTTAGTGTTGCTCCAGGGCCCTAGCCATGTGCCTCCTGCAAACTGTTCATACCATCCAGGTTAGTGTTGCTCCAGGGCCCTAGCCATGTGCCTCCTGCAAACTGTGCATACCATCCAGGTGAGTGTTGCTCCAGGGCCCTAGCCATGTGCCTCCTGCAAACTGTGCATACCATCCAGGTTAGTGTTGCTCCAGGGCCCTAGCCATGTGCCTCCTGCAAACTGTTCATACCATCCAGGTTAGTGTTGCTCCAGGGCCCTAGCCATGTGCCTCCTGCAAACTGTGCATACCATCCAGGTTAGTGTTGATGGAGGCGCCTTGTGAGTCGATTCAAGAGTCACCCTCCAATTGGGTGTCAGTCAGTCGAGGTTCATCGAAACAGGCAGGCCAGTTGGGGTCAACGATTGCTGCCTCCGCTGCTGCCGCATTCACCCTTCCCTTCTAGGCCCTCTCCACCCTCTCAGTATTCGAATCCTTCCTTTTTATTCTTCTCACGCCCAGCTGCCTTTCCCTTGCCTAGCACCCCTTTACCCGGATGTCCTCCCGCCAGTACCCCCGTGCCTGCCTCCCGTCACTCACTCCTGTAATCTGCTCTACCCGCCCTCTTGCATCCGTGGCCCCATTCCACTCCCCTTTCCCTCTCATCCATTCCCATTACTCCCGCTGCATCTTCCCTGCACCTCTCCACCCCCCCCCCTTCCCCTCCCCCTCCTCCCCTCTCTTCCGCACCCCTCCCTTCCCCCTCCGTCTCCCCCCCTTCTCCCCTTTTTCTCCCCCTTCTCCCCCCTTCCTCCTCCCTTCTCCCCGAATCCTCCTGCTCCCCCCTCCCCCCCTCCCCTCCCATCCCTGCAGCGCGCAGTAGACTTCTACAACCTGGCGGCCGTGCGGGGTTTGAGTCGACTTAAAACACAACCCGAATCCTCCTGCTCCGTTCTCCCCGAATCCTCCTGCTCCGTTCTCCCCGAATCCTCCTGCTCCCTTCTCCCCCTCCCCCCCCCCCCCCCCCATCCCTGCAGCGCGCAGTAGACTTCTACAACCTGGCGGCCGTGCGGGCGGAGTTTTTCGTCAACACGTGCGACCTGCCCATCAGCTACGACAGCGACGTGGGCGGCAGCCGCCCGGTGGGGTTCCCCTTCTTCTGCACGCGCGTGGTGCCCGGCTCCGTGGACGTGGCCATCCCTGACCCCCTCGACTTGCTCGACAATATGGATCTACCTGAGAACGTTGAGGTGAGAGAATGGAGTACGGATGGGTGGGGATGGGTAGGCAGCCGCCCGGTGGGGTTCCCCTTCTTCAGCACGCGCGTGGTGCCCGGCTCCGTGGACGTGGCTATTCCAGACCCCCTCGATTTGCTTGACAACATGGACCTTCCAGAGAACGTTGAGGTGAGTGGGGTGGGGTTGGGTGGGTGGATGGGTGGGTGGGGATGGGTGGGCTCCATGGACGTGGCCATTCCGGACCCCCTCGACTTGCTCGACAATATGGATCTTCCAGAGAACGTGGAGGTGAGAGAATGGAGTACGGATGGGTGGGGATGGGTTGGCAGCTGCCCGGTGGGGTTCCCCTTCTTCACCACGCGCGTGGTGCCCGGCTCCGTGGACGTGGCCATTCCCAACCCCCTCAACCTGCTTGAGAACATGGACCTGCCTGAAAATGTTGAGGTGTGTGGAGGGGTGGGAGGGGGTGGTGGTGGTTGGGAGAAAGGTATAGGGGGGTGGGGGGACTAGGAAGTATGGGATTGGGTGGGTGGGCATATGAGTGGTCCCCGGCTCTGTGGACGTGGCCATTCCGGACCCCCTCGACCTGCTCGACAACATGGACCTGCCTGAAAAAGTGGAGGTGGGGTGGGGATGGAGGGGAGGGGGACTATGAAGTATGGGAGTGGGTCGGTTGGCATATGAGTGGTCCCCGGCTCCGTTGACGTTGCCGTTCCAGACCACCTGCTCGACAACATGGCCCTGCCTGAGAACGTTGAGGTGGGGGGAAGGAGGAGGTGGGGTTGGGGTTCGGAGAAGGGGGGGGAATGGTGGGTGGGTGGGGGGTGTGTTGGCTCATGACTGATGGCTGGGTGTCCGGCTGGGCCTGGTGGACGTGGCCACACCGGCTGGGCCCGGTGGGAGGAGAGAAGGAGAACCGCGCTGTGTTCCGTTTGAATCGCGCTGAACCGTTCTCCCCTTTTTTTTCTCCCGTTCCCCTACCGCAGGTGCCGTGGGAGGAGAAGGAGAACCGCGCTGTGTTTTGTTTTTCGCGCCTCCATCCATGTCCCCACCTCCCCCAATCCCCCACCTCCCCCAATCCCCCACCTCCCCCAACCCCCCACCTCCCCCAATCCCCCACCTCCCCCAATCCCCCACCTCCCCCAATCCCCCCCTACCGCAGGTGCCGTGGGAGGAGAAGGAGAACCGCGCTGTGTTCCGCTTAGAACGTGCTGAACCATGCCACCTCATCTCTCCCACTCTCCCCATGCCACCCCCCCTGCTGCAGGTGCCGTGGGAGGAGAAGGAGAACCGCGCTGTGTTCCGCGGGGCGGCCAGCAGCTTTCCGTTTGAGGACTCTCAGAACTGGCGCGCTCACCCCCTCATCCGCCTGCACAGGTAGGGCCTTCTGGGGTGGTCGGTAGGTAGGTACATCTGGTGCAGGGCACACCTTTGAGGACTCGCAGAACTGGGGGGCGCACCCTCTCATCCGCCTGCACAGGTGGGGCCTTCTGGGGCAGTTGTAACTGGTGCAGGGCGCACCCCCTCATCCGCCTGCACAGATGGGGCCTTCTGGGGCAGGTGTAACTGGTGCAGGGCGCACCCCCTCATCCGCCTGCACAGATGGGGCCTTCTGGGGCAGGTGTAACTGGTGCAGGGCGCACCCCCTCATCCGCCTGCACACGTGGGATTCTCTGGGTAGCTAGTAGGTACATCTGGTGCAGGGCGCACCCCCTCATGCGCCTGCACAGGTCCCCTCAAGCTCACCTGCTCATCCTCTCTTGCTTGCGTGCTTGCATCCTCACCCAATTGCTTGCCCCCTCCTTTGACCTTCCCTCCTCTACCAATTGCTCCTTCCTCCCTTCCCTGTGTACTGAGACGTCTTTCCCTGAGACGACTTTCCCTGAGACGACTTTTGAGGCGCTTCAAAAGCTTGTTCCCCCCCTCCCTGCCACCGCCACTCCCTTGCTTCCTTCCGCATGTTCTTCTGCCCTTGCCTTTGTTTCCTCACCTCCCTCCTCTACCAATTGTTTTTTCCTCCCTTCCCTGCCACCGCCACTCCCTTGCTTCCTTCCGCATGTTCTTCTGCCCTTGCTAGACGTGAAGCTGACACTCACTCCTTACCTGCACTCTTCTTCCCCCCTCCTCCCGCCCCCCCCTCTCCCCACCTTCCCAGGATGGCGGAGGCTCGGCCGGACCTGCTAGACGTGAAGCTCATCGGGTGGAGCATCGCGGGGGACGTGCGCAAGAGGTACGCTGGTGGGGGTGGCAGCAGGTGGGGCAGGAAGGGGGGAGCAGACGGTGGGGCAGGAAGGGGGGAGCAGAAGGTGGGGCAGGAAGGGGGGAGCAGACGGTGGGGCAGGAAGAGGGGAGCAGAAGGTGGGGCAGGAAGGGGGGAGCAGACGGTGGGGCAGGAAGGGGGGAGCAGACGGTGGGGCAGGAAGGGGGGAGCAGACGGTCGGGCAGGAAGGGGGGAGCAGACGGTGGGGCAGGGAGGAAGGGGCAAAGGGTGGGGTAGGAAGTAGAATGGCGGCCAACATTCCTCCGTGAATCCTGCGGTTTTCGTCTTGCGTTTCGTGATGATCTTCCCTCCGTCCTCCCTCTTAGTTCTTGCCCTCGCTCCCCCCCACTCCCCTTCACTCGGCCGCACTTGCACTCTCGCTTTCCCTCTCACTCCTTTACACTCACACCCGCACCTACTCCCACTCAGAAGGTAGGCGAATGGAGGTCCCATGGTGGGGCAAACATGCCTTGTCTTTTCCAGTTGACTTTGAAACACTCTCACTCCCTCTCAACACTCTCACTCCCTCTCAACACTCTCACTCTCTCTCAACACTCTCACTCCCTCTCAACACTCTCACTCCCTCTCAACACTCTCACTCCCTCTCAACACTCTCACTCTCTCTCAACACTCTCACTCCCTCTTAACACTCTCACTCCCTCTCAACACTCTCACTCCCTCTCAACACTCTCACTCCCTCTCAACACTCTCACTCCCTCTCAACACTCTCACTCCCTCCCCACACGCTCCCCGCAGGATGGAGGCGGATGGAGTGGCCATGGTGGGGCGCACCCTCCTCAGACCCACCAATGAGCAAGTTCAAGTACCAGATCGTCTCCGGCCCTCCTTGCTCCCTTTCACCTCACATTCACTCTCACTCCCACTTCCCTTGCCACTCCCTCCCCCTCCCAACACTCCCCTCAGGATGGAGGCGGATGGAGTGGCCATGGTGGGGCGCACCTCTCTCACCTCCGATCCTCCAATGAGCAAGTTCAAGTACCAGATCGTGTCAGGCCTGCCCTCCTCGCACCAGACCTGCGCCATCCTCGCAAGAGGCGAGCAGGTGAGGAGGTTTCAGGGGGAGGGCGAGCAGCCAAGTACCAGATCGTGTCAGGCCTGCCCTCCTCCTCGCACCAGACCTGCGCCATCCTCGCGCGGGGCGAGCAGGTGAGGTTTGAAACGTTCATTAGAGGCGAGCAGGTGAGAGGTGTGTTTAGGAAGGGGGGAGCGGGTGACGTATGACATGTCCCACAAGGCCCTCCCCCCCTCCCCCCCTCGCTCATTCCCCCAATCGGTAGTTCTTCACGCCTGTCTTGCAGCCGTATGTGAACTTCGTCTCTTCTTCTTCCCCTTCATGATTCATCCCATCACAACCCCCCACTTCCCCCGTACCCCACTTCTCTACTCCCCTCTACAGGTGGCCATCCGGCAGGCCTCGCCCTACGCGGAGTTCTTCACGCCGCTCTTAAAGCCCTACGTGAACTTCATCCCTTCTTCTTCCTCTTCATCCCATCACAACCCCCCACTTCCCCCGTACCCCACTTCCCCCGTACCCCACTTCTCTACCCCCCTCTGCAGGTGGCCATCCGGCAGGCCTCGCCCTACGCGGAGTTCTTCACGCCGCTCTTAAAGCCCTACGTGAACTTCACCCCTTCTTCTTCCTCTTCATCCCATCACAACCCCCCACTTCCCCGGTACCCCACTTCTCTATCCCCCTCTGCAGGTGGCCATCCGGCAGGCCTCGCCCTATGCAGAGTTCTTCACGCCGCTCTTAAAGCCCTACGTGAACTTCATCCCGGCCAACCGGCACTTTGACAACCTGATTGAGAAGCTGCGGTGGGCGCAGAGCCACGACAACCACGTGCACCACATGGTGGCTGCTGGCAAGCGGGCGGCAAAGTGAGTGTGCACATCATGCACTGCTAGTCATCATGAATTGCACTTTGACAACCTGATTGAGAAGCTGCGGTGGGCTCAGAGCCACGACAACCACGTGCACCACATGGTGGCTGCGGGCAAGCGGGCGGCAAAGTAAGCTTTCTTCGGGAATATTCATTTGCTAATCCACATGCATGTGGCTCAGAGCCATGACAACCACGTGCACAGTGCACCACATGGTGGCTGCTGGCACGCGGGCGGCAAAGTAAGTTTGCACCAATTGTCATGAATGCACAAATCCACATGCACGGGGCGCAGAGCCACGACAACCACGTGCATCACATGGTGGCTGCTGGCACGCGGGCGGCCAAGTGAGTGTGTGTGTTGGGTGGGAGTGTGGAGTGTGTGTTGGTGGGCTCAGAGCCACGACAACCACGTGCACCACATGAATGCGCATTTCTGGATCTCCCCTTTCTCACGCCTCTCCCTCCCTTCCCTCCTCCACTCCCCGTGCCCCTCACCTCCTGCTCAAACCGCCAGGTGGGCGTGCACGCGTGGCGGGCACACGCTTTACTGGGCCATCCTCCTTATAAAGTACTCCAAGAACGCGCTACAAGACCCCTCCACAATCAAGGCCCCGGTCAAGACTCTCTGCCAGGACCCCCTCGATCCCGCCCTCCTGGAAATGGCCGGCCTTGCTGCTGCCTCCTCCCCCACCTCCTCTCCCTCCCTCTCTCTCCCGGACTCCTGGCCCCCCGTGTGTTCCCGTGACAACATTGATCGCAGCGCTCAGCCCAAGTGTGTCTATTACTGCCAGAAGGGGGTTATCCCCGGTAAGAGCTTTGTCTGGGTTTCGGCAGAAGCCCTCAAGGCTGGTGGTGGGGCGCAATCAGCGTAGCATTTAGTATGGGTGCCAGTGGGAAGTGAGGGCAGGCAGGCAGTCCCTCGGCCTCGGTCAGTATTATGAAGAGGGCGGACGGTGAACCAGCATTGGCGGTATTCGGGCGTCGCAGCGATCGTGCAACGTTTTGTGTTCCTTCTTCCCGCAAGGTCCCTCAGTGAAGTCCAAGATACGGTACACAATATTTATAAGATTCGGGACACTTCCATCTCCTGGCCTGGGTGCACAATTCTCGATGAGCTATCATGTTTGGGAATTGTAGTTGACTGTAATTTTCAGGGACATACAAGATGTACGGTATTAGCCCTAGTAATGCTGTAATTTTAGTTTGCATAATACAAGTAGTCATGATGACCATAACTCCTCTAGCATAGTGAGAGATTCTGGAAGAAAACTTATCTACACTAATGGAGTATGTTGTGGAAATGCGAATTGATCTGTGTTCCGTTACAAGTCACACTGCACAGTACAGATTAGACGCGTCGCGAGTTGGCAGGGACAGCGCTTTGGATTGCGAGCACGGCGCCCGCCTGAGGGTCATTCATTGGAGCACGTGGGCCTTTGTTACCACGTGAGCACTGTAGCACTCCGTACGAGGTAAGTTTCGTCGCTATTCAATCAAATGCTGTCGTTCAAGTCGTCAACAAAACGAATCCCGCCCCCAACCCCCCGTTCCGTGCAACGAACGGCCATTTGCGAAACGCAAATTGACTTCGCGACGCGCTCGTTCCCACACTGGTGCCCCCTCCCCTCCAACACCACACCACCACCACACCACGCCTTCCACCAGCCATCCACCACCAGCTCGATCTCCTCGTCGTTCGTGCGTACAAACTCTCACGAGCGGCCACTCGTGTGTAACATTCTGTTACACCCTGTTTCTCGCCATAGTGAACTTTGGTATACTGAATTCCCCGTTACTAGAAACTCACCCCGTACAGAAGCGTGCTATCACCTACGTTATAGTGAAATTTGAACCAGCGCGATCCAGTGTGATGGGTTACGTTTTCGAAAGTTCTCTTAACATTTTGGAATGGCTGGATACGGTATCTAGGGAAAATACATTCTGCGAACCTACCCTCACAACACCCGCCTGCAAGGGACGGTTGACTGGTTTCGGTAACAAAAAAAATCCGAATACTGCCAAGGAACAGTAACATTCTTACGCGGTTCAGTGTAGCGAAAAACAGGGTGTACTCGTGCTTCGAGCGTTTTGCTCAATCCCGCGGAATCGCGGTTCGTTTTATTTTCGCCACGTGGCATGCCTTCGATCGTGGGAACCGCGATCTGTTTTATTGTTCCCACAATTTTTAAGAGAAATATAGTTGGGCTTAGTGAGTCACATATACTGCCCTGCCCGCGGGCAAAAATATAGAAAAAAACATGCGTTAGGGATGCATCAACCCTAAACACCTAGAGGCAAGGTGTTTAGGGTTGATGCCTCCCTAACGCATGCCATGCCCGAATGGGTTTTATTTTTGCCCGTGGGCAGCGTGGTACAAAATTTAACTAAGTTTGTCTTGAACTTTGTGGGAAGAATAAAACAGATCGCAGTTCCCGCGATCGAAGGCTTGCCACGTGGCGAAAATAAAACGAAACGCGCTTCCGCGGAATTGAGCAAAATTCTCTCGTGCTTCCCCCCTCGTCAAAGATTTCGCCATTTCCTGCACTTGTTCCTCCTCCTCCACCTCTTGCTCCTCCGCCACAGTAATTATGACATTTTTTTGTTCCTCAGGTCCCATCAGGCTTTTATATTTGGTCATTACGAGACTGTACAAGAATCTGGCACGCGCCAACAGGTCGACTCGCCAAGAGCACTGCGCGTTTCACCCTTGGGGTGTGGTGTGGGGTGCGGCACCATGGTCTCTCTGTCCTTTCCATACCCGTCATATCTCACGGCTTCGTTCTGCCCAAATTGCTTCCATGTCGTTGGGTCGTTGCCTTTCTTTGCAATCACGGCAAAAGCGAAACATGAATTCTCGCCAGCAATGTGGGCAGCATCATCGCCAGCAAGGCATTCTCTCCGGTTCATAAATATCTTCGTCCAGATTAACTCGCGTGACGTCAGCATCATCATGAGCGCATTCCGTCCGCCTCACCCGCGCCTCTGGCATCTCAGATCGCACCAGTCCCTCCTTGTACGGATTCTCGTCCCTCAGGTTCCACCGGGAAGACTGAGGGAAGGCGGGTCGGCTAAACCATGTTGAGCGACCGTTGACATCCGTCGGAGGGATGTCGAGCAATGCCGTTCCTCGGATTTTGAAATCGGACGGCTGGGCTGTGAGGGGGAGGGGACGGGACTCACTGAGCTGGGTTCGGGTTCGGAGGGTCCGTCGGGCACGGAATGCCGCGCCGCGCGGCCCAGGCTGGCGACAGTACTGTAGCGCATCATGCTCATTAACGTCGTTGATACTTTCGTCTTTCGCGGCGCATGTGCGTGCACTATCATGATACTTCCTTGAGATACTCGTCAAGCCTCGTAGAGCCTGAACGATCAACGCAGATACTTCCGCTCGTCCCGTCTGGGTCAGTATCGCCTCCGCAACGAGCAGCGGTTCGCGCCAGCCGTAGATGTACTGTATCTCCATCCATCGACGGCCAGCTTTCGCCAGAACGAAAGACTCCGACACGTCATGGCGCGTAGATCCCGACTGGCATGTTCTAGCAGTGCTGCACGGGGTACAGCATCATGAGCCAGGCATCAGCGGTCGCATGGATGGACAAACAGACAGTCTCGGCTCGTTTTTCCATGGCCGCGCTTGTCACCCACAACTCAGAGCATTGCGATCGCTCAGCATTGCAACTGCGTCCACTTCACGGCTCCCCGCAGTGTCTTTCCGCGCTTCCTCTTCCGCCGTAAAGCAATCTCTGTTCCTTCAGCCCCCCGCCGCTCGTGCGCTATTGTTGTAAGCACAGCGCATCACAGCACAGCACTGCTGGCAGCAGCATCCCGCTCGGCTCGAATGGTGGGACAGATACCTAGCAGCAGCAGAAGCATTGATTACAAATAGTAATCGTCCCGGCAGTCCCAATAGTCCCAGCTGTTATCGCTGTTGGGAATTCTCTCAAGAGTGACTCGTAACGATACCGCCCCATAAGGAAATCGTCCTTTCCATCTAACAACGTTGTTATCAGCGGCCTTTCCATTCTTAATTCGGCCTTTAGCAACGTTAGATTTTTAAGGTCCGGATACATTATCTCCCAACGCGGATGATGGTCATTCCGCTTCGTTCGCGCATCGACCCAGTCTCGTCTCAACCACCCATCATACCGTTTGGCAACGAACTCCCTTTCAATACGTTCCCCGTTTCATCTGATCCGGCCTCGTCGTCGCAGCCGCTCCTGTCCACCTTACGCGCTTTATCCGAACCAGCGGCGCCGCGCGATCATCTGCTTTCCACTCACGACCGCGGTCACTTGCATTTGCGAGCCGCGTTTCCCCACATGGCGGCTGCTTCCCCACGCCGCGCCGACAGTCGCCCTGCTGCGGGCAATGCGACGGCGGGGCCGGTGGCGGCGGCGGCGGCGGCGACGGCGACGGCGACTCCAGCGGCGCCGACGTGGGACTTTCTCACGGTGCACACGCGGCGCGCATTGAAACGGCGACACAGTGAGCAGGACGAGCGGGATGAGCTGGACCAGCGGGACCAGCCAGAAGGCCGGGACGAGTGGGAGGGGCGGCGCAGCGCCAATGCTGCCGGTGATGATCCGGGGCGCCTCATGTCTCTCATGCTCGCCAACTCCTCCTCCGCCCATCCCGCGCGCCCCTGCTCCAATGGCGCCACTCCCTCTTCCCCCGCCATCGCCTGCGCCAACCGCACCCCGCGGCCCTTCCCCAGTCCAGCGGGACCAGCCACCCCCCCGTCGGTTTTCCCGCCGAGCGCCACAAAACCCGCCGCATTTGCCTGCCTGGGAAGTCACCGTCCCGTTTGTGCTGCTTCTGCTTCTGCTTCACACGCTCTCACGGTCAATGCGAGTCCTGCCGCGAATCACTCGACAGTGTCGCCGTTTCCGCCGCCGCCGCCGCCGCCGCCGCCAGCGTTCTTCTCTCTCCGCCAGGCGTCAATCCCCCGCGGCGCGCTGCTGCCTCTGCCCGAGCTGCTCCTGCCCGGCCTGCCACGTGGCGGCCCAGGGACTGGCTCTCTGCCAGAGGCTCTTTTCCGCCGCCTGTCTGCCTTGGCTGGCTTTACTCCGCTGACTGGCTTGACCGGATTTACTGGTTTGACTCGCGCTACAGGCGGTTCTGGCGGCAGCAGGAGCGGCGGTTTCTCGTGTGCCTTGTGTGGACGCACATTCCCCACGGTGCACGCGCTGGGGGGTCACAAGACCATGCACCGGAAAAGCATGCACCGCAAGAGCTTGCACCGTGCGGACACCCGCGCTACCAGCACCAGGAATGGCGGCAGCGGGGCGAGGAAGGGCAGCGGCGGCAGCAGGAATGGCAGCGGCAACATGAGCAAGAATAAGGGCTGCAGCAGCAGCAATGGTGACCTTCCCAGCCACGGAGTGAGACCCGTGCCAATGCTGCCTGCACGCCGCCATAAGAAGTGCAAGGTCGCTGCTGCTGTTCCTCATGCTGCTGCTGATGGTGCCGAATCTGCTGATGCTGCTGACGCTGCTGCTGCTGCTGCTGCTGCTGCTGCTGCTGCTGCCGCTGATGCTGCTGATGCTGCTGCTCATTCCTTGCCCGGAACTCACACTGCTCACCAGAAGCCCTCAGAGCGTCCTTCAGCAGTGGGTGACACCCTGGCAGAAGGCGGCACTCCCATGCGAGCGTCCACTCCCACTCCCCCTGTCACGCCCACAAACGAAGAAGCCATGCCGGCTTCATGGCCCAAGGCAGGTCCTGCAGGAAAGGGCCTTCAGACTCCAGAGACTCCCCATGCTGTGGTGCTGTGTGAGGCCCTAGCGGTGGAGAGCGGTGGAGAGATGGCCAGTCCTGCAGCGGAGCGTGGGGGAGATGTGGGTGTGCAGGCCGTGGAGGGAAGCGGAGGGGCGTGTGAGGGGCAGGTGCGGGCTCAGCTGAAGCGCGCCATCAGAGAGCGCCTTCTGCTGCAGACACGCCTGATCCAGTCACAGGTGCTACAGCCGCACCCGGCGCTGCACTCGCACAGGGGAGGCGGGCGCAACTCATGTTCGGCTCCCGGCGTTGCTTCATGGTCGCCCCCCGCGCTGGTTCTTGAGGCGACCCAGAAGGCTCCTGAGTCATGCTCACAAAGGAGAGGCGCACGCACCCCATGCTCACCTGCTGGCATTGCTGCATGCTCGCCTGCTGGAGTTGCGGCGTGCTCGGCCCCGGCATTTTCCAGCACGAGTGGTGCGGTAGCAGGGAATGTGTGTGCGGCTGACTTGAACCTGCCGCCCGCTGACGTGGCAGGAGGCATGGAGAGCGAGGCAGGAGGCATGGAGAGCGAGGCAGGAGGCATGGAGAGCGAGGCAGGAGGCATGGAGAGCGAGGCAGTGGTAATGGAAAGCGAGGATGCAGATCTTGCTCTGGCTGCAAGGGAGATCGAGTGCGAGGCTCGGGGGCAGCCTGATGGATGCATGGGCGGGGCTGACAACTCTCCTCATATTCCTCCTCATCAGGGCCACGCTGAACGGGGAGGCTGGTTTGTCAGTGGTGAGCATCATGGCACAGCATGCCATGCTGGTCAAGATGCCAGTGGTGGTGATGCCCCTGGGAATATTCGAGCTGGGAAGGTTTTTGACGCATATAGAAGTGAGCTGGACGGCGGGGTTAGTCGGTTTGGGTGCTTAGACTTAAGCTTGCACCTTTAAATAAAGGGTTCTGGAATTAAGACTGCACTCAGTGGAGTCAGCATCAGGGCTGACACGTTCGAGTTGTGGCTCAGTGCTCATGTGCACTGTAGGGTGCATCGTTACTAATGGGCTTGCGGCTCCCAAATTGGGACGCTATTTCGAGCAGGGACTTGGCCGGAGATATGTTCCACTCCACGCCCCCAAATCGCACTCACCCTCGTTTAGAAGGTGCTTAATGTGGAGGAAATAGTTATCATAGTCTTGTAGTGCACCTTACTAGAGCCTACTTTATTTAATTTAGCTTTGGAGTCCAGCAAACCGAGCTGCCTGCTCGTTTATCCCAGTGTCGGTGCTGTGTTGGCAAGGAACTCCGAATCATCAGCGCTGACTGGCCAGCATCTTGGATCAAGTCAGGGCTCAACACGTGAGCATTGAGCAATCGTTTGGATTGGCGAGACGCCAACACTTGATTTCGTCGCACTCAACTCTCCCAGCAATGCGACACGGGCCAATTTTAACGGCATTCAAATTATGCCAGTGCGATTATGCAGATGCATACAATAGACGGCCGTAGGGGAATGAGGCTGACGGACTGTTATCTGCCCGCGGTCAGAAAAAACTAAACCCCATCTGGATGGCATGCGCCTGGGGGAGCCTCAAACCGAAACACGGGTAACCGCATGTTTTTGCCGGCAGGCCGACATTTTTGCCTGAACCGTCTATTGCATGCATTTGCAAACTTGCACTAGCAAGATCTGCATGCGTTAGGTAAAAGCCGATGCGACACCTACTTCAAATCGTACAGCTGCTAGACTGTTTTCGCATATATTCGTTAGGCGGGTTGCACGATTTCGGCGAATGGTCCAATACCCCCTGATTCAAAGTTCAAACTGGATTCCAATCTCAGAGGCACTCAAATTATTCCACCCCCGTTCCCCACACACACATCCCGCCACAAACTGTACTATTTTTGCACTCACAAGTTTCCTCATTCCTAAACTTCTTTTCAGTCAAACTACCGCGAAGCACCTGCAGAACGTCGTGTCACTGGTGATACCATGGCGGCTTCTTTATCCCGTGGCTGTGCTGCATTGGCCGCTGGAGCCAGGATCGTACAAACGGACAAGTGCCAGAACCATGCCTTCGCAGTAGCCTCGCTTGGTAAAGTCTCTGGCGTCTCCCGGGGGCTTCATAATGTTAAAAAGCTCGTTCTTACATCCCAACGGCCTGATCCATCCTCCTGCCGTCAAGTACGCTCTCACCGTCAAGTATTCGCGCAGGCCGCGTCCGCCGCGTCTGCGGTTACCACCACTCCCGGTCAGACGGAGCGCGTGTTACACGAGCTACCGTCGGGTTACAAAATGGAGGTCCTGATTCGTCGAGCGGATCTGGACGCCAAGGCCGTGGGTGCCGATTCGGAGCTGCAGCTACCCCCATTGGTGTTCATCCATGGGAGTTACCACGCCGCGTGGTGCTGGGCTGATAAGTGGATGCCGTATCTGTCGGCGCTGGGATTCGACTGCTTCGCTATAAGCATCCTCGGTCAGGGTGGGAGCGACGTGCCGAACGCTCCTGTGGCTGGGACCGTTCAGGTGCGAAGTGATTGTGGTGAGAGGTGATGGCGGTTGGTGATACTGACAATATGGGATAATGGTGAAACGTGTTAGGCAAGAGGTGACATATGGCGAGAAGTGAGGTTGGGAGTGATAATGGTGAGGGGTGATTCGTTGGGAGTGATAATGGTGCGAGGTGAAAATGGAGAAAGGTGATAATGTTGGCGAGGTGAAAGGAGAATCCGAATGCAGGCTTCAGGAAGCTGTGAATATGTAGGATGCACGAAGGGAATCCAATGACGTGAATGCTCCTGCGGCTCAGAGAGAGGCCAGTCAGGCTAACGACAGGTGCAGATGTGTTTGGAGTGCAGATTCCACATGTAACACGCTGAGTGAGCGAGAGTAATAAGTCTTCAACTGATCTATGGACACACACACACACCCACTCTCACCTACACTCTCCAATAGCTTGTTGGGGACTAGATGCTTCGTTGGAAGCTTCTGGGCCACAGCTGCTAGGGTTTGTCAGGAGGTTGACTGCCTGCTGTCTGTGACTTTCAGCTGCTGCTGGTGCTGCATTTGAGCTCCATGGGTAAGGATGGAACAGCCACGCGTGGTTTAGAAGCCGGATGCTGAGTACACATGTTTGTTTCCCCTTTCCCCTCTTATTGCACATGTTTATTTTCCCTCTCCCCCCTTATTGCACACATCCTCCACATGGCGGCGCCTGAGACGCGCAGTCCCATGCTGCTGACGTGTCAAACGTTATCCGCCAGCTCGTTGGTCGGCCGCCGGTCCTAGTTGGGCACTCGTTCGGCGGGCTGATTGTTCAGGCGTATCTTGCTGACGTGGCAAAGGACTGGGAGAGCAGCAAGGATGGTGAGTGGCTATTTGCTGACAGGTGAAGGTGACTGGGTGGGGCCACCAGCTCTCCTCTCCTAAAAAATCATATGTCCACGCTTTCCCTCTCTTCATCCCGCATCTCCCCCTATTTAACTACCTCCTCTGTATCTTGCCCCACAAAATGCAGTATACCTTCTCTACCGGTTTTAACCACTCGGAACCTCTCTCCACCCCTTCAAACTCGTGCCGTGTTTCTCCTGTTGGTCAGACGGAGTCCCTTTCGCCCCTCTAACGGGGGCTGTGCTTGCCTGCTCTGTGCCGCCCACTGGCAACATGTGAGTGTGACAGTAAGGAGGGGATGGGGGTGATAAGCCAGGTGAATTCTAGAGGGTTGTCTGAGTGTGAAAGCTAACAGGGGATGAGATATTAATAATGGTGACTGTGTGTTTGTGAGAGCTGCAATCCACCAACAAGTGCGCCCAGCGACGCACAAGTGTCCCTCCCCCATCCGCCACACCCCTATTAAAGGGAGCTAGTAAAGCAGAGCACATGCGCCCCACTTGAATTGAGACGATTCTTTTGTCGCCTAAAAAATCATCTCATTAAGCACGGCACATGCACCCGCCCCACTTGCCCCATCCTGCTGCTCCAATCAATTCCCCTTTCCCACCCCCCCACCCCACCCACCAGGGAGCTGGTGAAGCGCTACATGCACACGCGCCCCATCCTGTTGCTCCTAACCATCCTTCCCCACCCACCTCCCCGTCTTTCTCCCTCCCTCCCTTCCCCCCCCCCCCCACCCACCCCACCCACCAGGGAGCTAGTGAAGCGCTACATGCGCACGCGCCCCATCCTGTCCATCGAAATCACCCTCAGCCTCGCAGCCCCTCCGCTCCTCGCTCTCCCTGTCTCAAAGCCCTCTTTCTGTTGCATCCTGTCCCACCCACCTCTCCCCCACCCCCCCACCTCTCTCTCTCAGGGAGCTAGTGAAGCTATACATGCGCTCGCGCCCCATCCTCTCCTTCAAGATCACCCTCAGCTTCACCGCCAAGCTCTCCCTTTGCCGCGACTCCTCTCACTGTCGCTCCTAACCACCCCACGCCCACCCCGCTCCTCACCCCTCTCCCAGGGAGCTAGTGAAGCGCTACATGCGCACGCGCCCCATCCTGTCCATCAAGATCACCCTCAGCCTCGCCGCCCCACCTCTCCCCGCTCTCCCTCTTCGAGATGCCTCTTTCTGTTGCTCCTTCCCATCCTCCCCCCCCTCACCCCTCTCTCTCAGGGAGCTAGTGAAGCGCTACATGCGCACGCGCCCCATCCTCTCCATCAAGATCACGCTCAGCCTCGCAGCCAAGCTCTTCCGCTCCTCACTCGCCCTCTGCCGCGATTCCTTCTTCTCGCCCACCCTCCCTGAAGCTGAAGTGAAGCGCTACCAGGCATTGCTCTCCGACAGCAGCAAGCTGCCGCTGTTTGACCTCAGGAGTCTCAACGCGTCCCTCCCCGTGGCCAAGCCCCCGGCGTACTGCCCACCTGTCATGGTGCTGGGTGCTGCCGATGACGTCATTGTGGTGAGTTGGTAGCTCCTCGCTCTCCCCTCGCCCTCTGCCGCGACTCCTTCTTCTCGCCCACCCTCCCTGAAGCTGAAGTGAAGCGCTACCAGGCATTGCTCTCCGACAGCAGCAAGCTGCCGCTGTTTGACCTCAGGAGTCTCAACGCGTCCCTCCCCGTGGCCAAGCCCCCGGCGTACTGCCCACCTGTCATGGTGCTGGGTACTGCCGATGACGTCATTGTGGTGAGTTGGTAGCTCCTCGCTCTCCCCTCGCCCTCTGCCGCGACTCCTTCTTCTCGCCCACCCTCCCCGAAGCCCAAGTGAAGCGCTACCAGGCCCTGCTCTCCGACAGCAGCAAGCTGCCCCTGTTTGACTTGAGGCGTCTGAATGCGTCCCTCCCTGTGGCCAAGCCCCCGGCCTACTGCCCGCCTGTCATTGTGCTGGGAGCTGCTGATGACGTCATTGTGGTGAGCTGCTTGGGAGTGGTCCTGGATTGATGGATTGATGGCTTGATGGCTGGATGGTTCCTGATCTTCTATGCATTGGGGTACTGGGGGTGCTAGAGAGGGCGTACGGCGCTACCAGGCACGCCGCATGACATCATGCTGGACCTGGGGTGGAAGGTTGGAAGGGTGCACCACTCACGTGTCAACTCATCCCTGCATTCCATTCCCTCCATCCTGATATCCCTCCATCCTGATATGCCGCCATCTCTCCCTTGCACATCAGGACGACCAGGGGGTGAAAGAAACAGCGGAGTTCTTCAGCACAGCAGCAGTGGTGCTGCCAGGCATGCCGCACGACATCATGCTGGACCTGGGGTGGAAGGATGCTGCTGATGCCATGCTGCAGTGGCTTGCAACCCATGGCGCCATCCCCAAGCAATGACACGCAAAGTTACAATCTCAATAAACGTTCCCATAACGTTCTGTACCGTATGTGACTCGATTTGCTCGTTGTGGAAGGATGCTATGCTGATGTTATGCTGCAGTGGCTTGCAAATCACGGCGACATCCCCAAGTAATAGCACGACTAGCTAAGCTATGCAAGAACCATAAGGTTCTGTGTTTGACTCAATTTGTTCATTGTGGGGTATATATTGATAGATACCTATATATACACTATGTGGGGGAGTGAACCTACCTACCGTACCTGGTTTCAGGCATTCAGGCAAAGCAACAACATACAGCGCCTTCGTCTGCACAGTACAGCTCTGAATCCTAAGCACACAACTGCAGGTACCGTACTAAACCTCGTTGGCCCTCTTTGATGATTCGAGTATGCCTCCCAGCCACTGAGGTCGTACTTGGCTGCCAGTTGGTGTTTCACAACCGGTACTATCATTAAGCAATATATTCACGGTATTAGGGTATATGGTGGGTTGCCATGGCAACTTGCCAGCCACTGGTTAGTGGTGCAGTGCTTAGGTGGCGCACTGAAGTACACTACCTCCACATTGCCCAGCTGACAAGACCCATTCTCACTAATTAGTAATTAGCCATGTCTCATCAAAAGTCCAATACAGTCAAGCTCAACAAATAACTTATCAGAAGCAACCGTGCACTGTACAACGCCACACTATATCCACACCACACCGGACCACAGTAGATTTCTAAGCTTACGGTACGGCCAATCACTGCATATCAGCCAACAGCCAAGGCATCCTGTGGTGGTAGTGGGTTGTCAAACTTGTCGTTTTGTGGTGCTGACGAAACAGCACCACCTGCTCCATCCTTGTGATTCGACTCACAAGGCTGAGGAGACTCACCCCTTTTTCTCCCATTAAGACCTTCGTTCTCCTCTCTCACTATCCCATTCCCACTACACTCACTCCCTATCCTGTCACAACCCGCCCGTGCACCCTCCTCGGCACTCCCACAAATCCCACCACCATCACTGCTATTCCCGCTGCTACCACTCTCCATGGCAACACTGCTGCTGGTGCCAAACCTGCTGCTGCCACTCCTGCCACTCCCTACAGTCACACTCACCCCATCACCAACCCCGCCAGTCCATTTCCCAGCATCCCCCCTCTTTTTAGTCACATCATTCCCCATCTCCCGCCGTCTGTCCGGCTGTGGTGACATGGCTCTCTCGATGCGGTTACCAGGTGGGGTGGTGGACCGTTGTAACCGCCGGGGCGGGGGCATGCGGGCCAACAGCCGGTCAAGAGGCGACATGTCCTTATCATTCCTACCCTCCTTCCCTCCCCCCTCCCCCTCCCCTCCACTGCCTCTACCCGCCCCGTCCGGACAGAACAACCGGCCGGGAGGGTTGTGGAAGAGCGAGGAAGAAGAGGAGGAGGAGGAGGGGTGGGTGGGAGCGGCAAGAGCGGAGGAGAGCGGCGCTGCTTGGTGCAGCACACGGCCTTCGCTGCGGTCAAACGCCGACACCACAAACCCATGCTGGGCCAACTCCTCCAGAAACTTGGGGAGACTGTCCACCCCTCCTCCCATCCCTCCGCCTGCTCCGCCTGCTGCTGCTGCACCGTTGCCAGCAGCGGCAGAGTCGTCAACGAGCCATGTGAGGGAGGAGGGGGAGGGCATGATATCAGACATGGAGAGAGAGCGCGAGTGCCGCCCCCGCCTGCGCACGGGGGGCTTGCTTGCTGCTGCGCCCCCTGTCGCTGCGCTTCCTGCTGCCCCCCCTGCTGCTGTGGGTTTGGGAGGAGTGGAGGAGGCACCAGCTGATCCAGCCGCTGCAGCGTCGACGGCGGCAATGGCAGCTGCTGCGATGCCGGCGTGGGTTTGCCTGCGACGCGGGAGTGCTGCCAGGAAGGCAGTGTGGTCGTCAGATGGGCTGCCAGCAGCAGCAGCAGAGGGAGAAGCGGTGGAAGCAGCAGCAAGAGCGGTTGAGCGTGACGCAGCAGCACCACTCTCTTCTGGAGCATACCCTTCCCTGCGCTGCTGCTTCTGCTGCCCTGCTGCTGCTGCTGCTGTGCTGGCTGCTGCTGCAGTCTGCTGAGAGGACTCAGCAGATGCAGCAGCAAGAGCAGTGGTGGAGGGAGGAGGGGAGATGGAAGAGGTCGGAGCGTCGAGCACTTCAGCAGCAGAGGCAGCACGAGGCAGGGAGATGCGAGAAGGCACGGCCCCTCCTCCTGCTGCTGCTGCTGCTGCCGCTGCCGCTGCCGCTTCTGCTGCTCCCTCCGCCAGTGCTGCTTCAGGGTCGAAACTATCAAGGGGAGAGCCGGACGGCACAGGAGCAGGGGAGCTGCGGCGACGGCTGGAGTACGAAGCAGTCGATCCCAAACCAAAGGCCTTGGCTCGGGAAGGGGCTTGGGAGGTGCTGGAGGCTCGGGCGAGGGAGGGAGGCTTGGAGGGGCGGGCGCGGATGGGAGGGGGAGGAGGAGGGGGTGTGGAAGCTGCGATGACGAGAGAGAGCGAGGAGAGGAGCTCGATGAGAATGGCCTCGAAACGATCCTTGTTGGCGAAATGGAGGGTCTGTAGTGGAGGGAGAGAGGGTGGAGGGGAAGAGCGACAGAGAGAGATGAGATGAGAGGAGAAGGGGAAAGGGAGAAACAAGCAGAGGAGAGAAGCTCGATGAGAATGGCTTCAAAACGGTCCATGTTGGCGAAATGGAGGGTCTGTAGTAGTAATGAGAAGAGAGGAGGTTGGAGTGGAGGGGAAGAAACAGAGATGCGAAGAGAGGAGGAACAAGAGAAGGGCACGAGTGAAGGGCATGAGCCAACAGAACATCTGCGCTGCGAGCTGGCACCCTGTGGGCCCCCATTCCCCCCTCACGCAAACCCACCTGCACCAGCAGCACCCTCTGTCTCCCCGCCACCCTTCCACTGTGCGAGCGATCATTGACCCACTGGAGAGTGGCCTGGCTGAAGGGCATGAGCCAGCAGAACATTTGCGCTGCCAGCTGCCCTACTGTGAGCTCCCATGCCCCTCCATACCCGTCCCATGCCCAGACCCACCTGCACTAGAAGCACCCTCTGTCGCCCCGCCACCCTTCCACTGTGCGAGCGGTCGTTGACCCACTGCAGGGTGGCCTGGGAGAAGGGCATGAGCCAGCAGAACATCTGCGCTGCCAGCTGCCCTACTGTGAGCTCCCATGCCCCTCCATACCCCTCCCACGCGCACACCCACCTGCACCAGCAGCACCCTCTGTCGCCCCGCCACCCTTCCACTATGCGAGCGGTCATTGACCCACTGCAGCGTGGCCTGGCTGAAGGGCATGAGCCAGCAGAACATCTGCGCTGCCAGCTGCCGCAGCTCCCCCAGCAGCACCTCGTCCAGCGGGCGGCGCCGGGAGACGCGCAGGCGGGAGTGCAGCTGATGGCGAATGAACGTGGGGAGCATGAGATAGAGGTCCTTCCTGGGGGAATATAGGGTGAGGGGAGGGAGGGAGGGAGGGAGCGCGGAGTAGGGAAGAAGGGTGGGAGGCTTGTTTGTTTTGCCCCAGCTTGCGCAGCTCCCCCAGCAGCACTTTCAACTAGCGGGCGGCGCCGGGAGACGCGCAGGCGGGAGTGTAGCTGGTGGCGAATGAAGGTGGGCAGCATGGCGTACAGATCCTTCCTGCAGGGGGGGAAGATGAAGGGAGGGAGGGATGGCGGGAGGGAGAGGGGGAGAGAGGGCGGAGTAGAGGAGGGAGGGAGGTGGTGGGGGAGTGATGGCTGGGAGAGTGCTGCTTGTTCGCCTCAAGAGCCGCAGCTCCCCCAGCAACACTGAGTCCAGCGGGCGCCGCCGGGACACACGCAGGCGGGAGTGCAGCTGGTGGCGAATGAAGGTGGGGAGCATGAGATAGAGGTCCTTCCTGCAGGGGGGTAAGGTGGGGGGAGAGAGGGTATAGAAGAGAATGTAGAGGGATGGAAGCTCCCCCCACAGCACCGAGGCTAGCAAGTGCTGCTGTGACACGTGCAGGCGGGAGTGCAGCTGGTGGCGGATGAACGTGGGGAGCAAGGCGTAGAGAGGTCCTTCCTGGGGCGGATAGGGTGGGGAGGAGGAGAAGGGGGTTTAGAAGGGTTGGGAGGGCATGAAGGCAATTGGGTGCAGCTAGTGGCGGAAGAACGCGGGGAGCATGGCGTAGAGGTTCGAACACCTGCTTTACTTGCTCACCTCTTGTTGGTGAAATCAGGAGTGCCGGGCATGGTGACAGCTAACTGGCTGACAGCAGCCAGCACACGCGCATACAGCGTCGGCAGCCCCGCCTGCCCTCCAGGTCACCAGAAGGAACGAGAAGGTGTAACAAGAGGGGTTTCTGCTCTCACCTCTTGTCGGTGAAGGCAGGTGTCCCGGGCATGGTAACAGCTAACTGACTGACAGCAGCCAGCACACGCGCATACAGCATCGGCAGCCCTGCCTGCCCCACTGTGCCCTCCAGGTCGCCTGGCCCTATGGGATCCGGCCACCCATACACCTCCCTCAGATGCTGCCAAAGAATGCCGACCGCCACCGCCAGGGTCTGTTGAAAGGCGAGTTCAATCCGGTCGGACAGGGATGAAGGTTGGATGGAGTGATGAGAGTAAGACCTTACAACAAAGCGGTCAAGCAAGCAACCATGTGCAAATACAATGAAGTGACTTTTGAGTCGACTCAAAAGTCACCTAAATAAATGAAGTGGTCAAGAGAACTTCCGTTATTGAATTGGAGTTTTAAGTGTTTTCAAGCAAGCAATCCAATCCAAAATGGAGCGACAGCTAAAGAAGCACCCAAGAAGGGATGGAAGAGGAACATCCCAGACAGAGGGGGCAGCGCGAGGGAGCAACGGGAGCAGCAGAAGCAGAGGAAGCAGAGGAAAAAGAGGGAGGGAGCAGAACAGAAGAGGCAGAAGGAGCCGAAGAACCCACCTTGGCCATTCTCTCAAGGCTGTGCGACCACAGGGAGCTCCTCTGCAGCTGCTGCACTTTCTGCCCCTGCATGGGTGGAGATGGGTGGGCATGGGTGGGCATGGGTGGGCATGTGCATGGGTGGGTATGGCTGTGCGATCACAGGGAGCTCCGCTGCAGCTGCTGCACCCTCTGCCCCTGCATGGGTGCACATGTGGCCCATGGGTGGAGATGAGTGGGCATGGGAGGGCATGGGAGGGTATGGGAGGAATTGGGAGAGCATGGGTAGGCATGGGACGGTATGGGAGGGTATGGTTGGGTATGGGTGGGCATGGGTGGGCACAGGTGTGTATGGGTGCGCATGGGTGGGCTTGAGAGGGCATGGGAGGGCATGGGAGGGCATGGGAGGGCGTGGGAAGGTATAAGAGGTTATGGGTGGGCATGGGAGGGTATGGGAGGTTATGGGAGGGTATAGGTGTGCATGGGTGTGCATGGGTGTGCATGGGTGTGCATGGGTGGGCAGCAAGAGTGGGCCTATGAGAAGGCGTACTTTTAACCTAAGATGAACCATCAAAAGCCATCACATGCCATCCAGCACCACCCGATGCCATCCAATGCCAACCAATGCCACCCAATGTCATGCAGCGCCGGCCAATGCCGTCCGATGCCATCCCAATGCCATGACAAGCTTGCCTGGATGACAAAGTAGTACTCGCCTCGGGGTACGTCTGAGTGGGTGTGTTTTGAGTCGACTCAGAAGTGTGTTTTGCAACGCAACACCTGCCCAAGGCCATGACAAGCTTGCCTGGATGACAAAGTAGTACTCGCCTCGGGGTACGTCTGAGTGGGTGTGTTTTGAGTCGACTCAGAAATGTGTTTTGCAACGCAACACCTGCCCAAGGCCATGACAAGCTTGCCTGGATGACAAAGTAGTCCTCGGGGTATGTCTGAGTGGGTTGCTTGTCCTCAAACGAGTATGCATCGCCATCAGATGAAGTGCTGATGGGAAGGGCGGGGACCAGTGGAGGAGGAGGGAGGCAAGCCAAGGAACAAAAACCAGAGGGCCAGAGAACAGATGGTCAGAGAGGCGCCTCAAAAACAGCAGTCATCAGGGTTCGTCTGTGTGTGCTGCTTGTCCCCAAACGAGTACGCATTCCCGTCAAATGACGTGCTGATGGGAAGGCGGGAAAAGGGGAGGGAGGGGGAAGGAAAGGTGAACCCAAGCCGGAGAATACAAGAGACATTCATGAAGGATGAGAGCGCTGGGACAAACGGGGTGCAGCTTCTGCCGTTCGAATATAAGAGCAGAGTGAGAGGCAGGTTCGGATGATGGAAAGAAGTAGGCTAGGCACACGGGCACTTGTGGGTTACCTGCGCCACACCCAATTCAGGTGCAGGTAAGGTAATCCAGTTCAGAGATATCGGAGTCAGTTTTGAGAATTCCCAAAACTGCGCCACACCAAAATCAGAGGTAATGATTGCATCGCACCCCCACCTGCCAACGCCTTCACCCCTTCACCTCGCCACACTTTCAAACCACCCACCTGGCAATGGCTTCATCCCCACCCACCTGGCAATAGCTTCACCCAGTGCCTCCATCTCTCGCTTCAGAATGCCCGTTGGGCCCCTGAGATGACCCCACCCGCCATGACCCCACCCACCATGACCCCAGTCACCCCTTCACCTCGCCATCCTTCACCCTTTTCCACCTCACCACACCTCTCACTAGGGATGAGCAAGGGGCGAACACGAACGTGTTCGCGTTCGCCCCAGCTCGAACACTGCCGTTCGGTGAACCGAACAGTGTTCGGTTCGCCGAACACCTTTTACAAAAAATGGTGTTCGATGTTCGCCTGTGAGGGCGAACATCTTGCATGCTAAGGCGAACACGAACGTGTTGGGGGCGAACACGTTCGTGTTCGCCCCTGGGCATAATTTGTTACGCTCGAAATACGCAACGGCGGGCAGGGGAATTGCGGGAAACTGGGGGAAAATATCTAGGCTGGATCAGCATTTTGCGAGATCTAGTTACGGATCCATAGTTTTTTTTATCCAGCTCGCCACCTGGATTTCCCCCCACGTAAGGCGAAATGCTCTCCCCCTTCTATATCTACGAAATTTGCGATTGCTCGCCAACCCCCCACAACCCCCCAACTCACGAAATATGCGAACGCTATTCCTCTCAATCCTATGCATACGAAATTTGCGAATGCCCCAACCCTCAACTTACGAGATTCTGCGGTATCCCTGTCTAATATTTTCCCGAAAAACTAAATCTCGCATACCCAAGTCGAGACAGACTAACCTAAGGTAACTACTTAATTACGCTAAGTCCTAATGAGGTGATAACGGCGTGATGTGTGGGGGGCGTGGTAGTAATGGCTGCTGCTGAATAGCGCGACTAAGTTTGAGCTCAAACAGAATGTCCCGCAACGTAAATTGTAGATAGCGGGACAGTCGCGTCGAACACATTCGTGTTCGTTTTTGCCCCAAAACCGAACAGGTGTTCGTTTCCATGCTCATCCCTACCTCTCACCTGGCAATGGCTTCGTCCAGTGCCTCCATCTCGCGCTTCAAAATGCCCGTTGGGCCCAAATGGTCTCGCAGGAACCTGGACATACATGCACATGCACACAGACGCACACATACACATACACATGCACATGCACATGCACATGCACATACACATACACATACACATACACATGCACATGCACATGCACATGCACATGCACATACACATACACATACACATACACATGCACATACACATACGCATACACATACACATACACATACGCATACACATACACATGCACATGCACATACACATACGCATACACATACACATGCACATGCACATACACATACGCATACACATACACATGCACATGCACATACACATGCACATGCACATGCACATACACATGCACATGCACATGCACATGCACATACACATACACATACACATACACATGCACATGCACATGCACATGCACATACACATACACATACACATGCACATGCACATACACATACGCATACACATACACATACACATACACATACGCATACACATACACATGCACATGCACATACACATACGCATACACATACACATGCACATGCACATACACATACGCATACACATACACATGCACATGCACATACACATGCACATGCACATGCACATGCACATACACATACGCATACACATACACATGCACATGCACATGCACATGCACACACACATACACATACACATGCACATGCACATGCACATGCACATGCACATACACATACACATACGCATACACATACACATGCACATGCACATGCACATGCACATACACGTACACATGCACATGCACATACACATACGCATACACATACACATGCACATGCACATACACATACGCATACACATACACATACACATACACATACACATACGCATACACATACACATGCACATGCACATACACATACGCATACACATACACATGCACATGCACATACACATACGCATACACATACACATGCACATGCACATACACATGCACATGCACATGCACATGCACATACACATACGCATACACATGCACATGCACATGCACATGCACACACACATACACATACACATGCACATGCACATGCACATGCACATGCACATACACATACACATACGCATACACATGCACATGCACATGCACATACACGTACACATGCACATGCACATACACATACACATATAGACATACGGTACAAATACACATACACATGCACGTTCACAAGTAGGAAACTATGAGCAAACACACAGGCTAGCCCCCTAACTCTGTATTTCCTCCCTTCAGCTTCCCTCTCCAACCCCCCACTCCCACCCTTTCCCCCCCCTCACCTCATCACTTCATCCGCCTCTGCCTTCCCCACCGCCTTCTCTCGCTTCTCCCTCCTCCTTGCATGCGCCCTCAGCACCTGCTGCACCTGCCCCCCCACCGCCCCCCCACTCTGCCCGTTACCCCTCTTTCCTCCCCGTTACCCCCTTCTCAATCTCACCTCATCACTTCATCTGCCTCTGCCTTCCCCACAGCCTTCTCCCTTTTCTCCCTCCTCCGTGCATGCGCCCTCAGCACCTGCTGCACCTGCCCCCCCACCGCCCCCCCACTCTGCCGGGCCAATGCCGCCACGCCAGCTGTCAGCAGCAGCAGCTCGTTGGAATACTCCAGGCCTGTGAATGGGTGTGAATGGGTGTGAATGGGTGGGGATGGGTGGGAGCGGGTTTAGGTGGGGGAACGGAGGGGACAAATGAGTGAGCATAGGGTCAGTGCCGCCACGCCAGCTGTCAGCAGCAGCAGCTCGTTGGATACTCTAGGCCTGCGACAAGGGAGGTGGAGATGGGTGGGAATAGGTGGGGATGGGTGGGTGGGGATGGGTGGGAATGGGTGGGGATGGGTGGGGATGGGTGGGGATGGGTGGGGATGGGTGGGGATGGGTGGGGATGGGTGGGATGGGTGGAAATAGAGGAGAAGGTCAGCTTCTACGCAACAAAACCGTTGGTCAACCCAACCCCTTTTTTACTGCTGAAAAACGGCTTCCCCGTTTTGACTGCTGACCAACCAAACCCCTTATTAACCATAAGCAAAGCTCCCAACTCCTTCTTGATTTGCCTCACCTGCCATGCGCCAAACCTCGTCTCTCTCACCTGTCAGGCCATGCTCTCACCTGCCATGCGCCACCGGAAGGTGAAATCGCCCACTCCCAGCCGCTCCAGGTTCTCACTCTGCCCCCACCATGCACAGCAGGGCACCCGGCACACACGGCACACGGCACAGCAGGGCACACGGCGCACACGCACACGCACACGCACAGGCACACACACACGCACACGCACACACACACGCACACGCACACGCAAAGACAAGTCACACAAACACATCAGCAAGGTCCGGTTTGAAGGCTCCTCAGGAACAGAAACTCTCCCTGGTTTTCCAAGTATTGTAACAAGATGTGAACTTGAGTCGACACAAAGGTCTCACAAGTGTTGTAAAACACGCCTCAAGCTCCATCCATCCGCCATCGCGCACCTGAAGCTGCTGCCTCAGCTCTGCCACGTGTCCAGGTTCCAATTGGCTCCAGAGATCCAGGACCCGGTGCATCAGCCCGGCCACTTCAAACGCCAAGATGCCCATCGGACGGCTGAGATCGCTGCACGCGATGCTCCTCACTCCGCCACCGCCACTGCCGCCGCCACCACCGCCGCTTTCGGCGCTGCTGGTGACGCTGCAGCTGCATACGCCACCAATGTCGCTGCCATTGCTGGTGCTGCTGCTCGTAGCGTTGCTGCTACTGCTATTGCCGCTACTGCTATTGCCGCTACTGCTATTGCTGCTGCTGCTATTGGTGGCGCTGCCGGCGGATAGGGTGCTGACGCTGCTGCTGCTTTTGGAGTTGGTAATCCCCGCTACTGCTGGCTTCGTTACCGGGTTATTAGAACCAGTGTCGTTGATTGGTGGAAACTCCGCGTTTACTAACGCGTCGATCACGCTGACCTGGTTACCCATGTAACACAAGCTATTGCGGCATTCTAATACGCGGAAACGAGATTACGGAGACTATCATCTTCTAACCTAAGTGTGACGGGTCGCACTATAAGTCAGAATGGTTTGAATCGGTTGAGTGCAACCGCCGAGGAACGCAGATTATCTAATTCGCACACTTATTGATACGCGAAATGCGGACTCGATGATACGTGGCGCGTTGTCGAGCCCAGCTGACGCATTCGACAAAACGGGCTGAAACCGAACTGCATCGGAAAACGAAACCGACGGAAGGAGACAGGCCTTCGGCTGGGCTTTTATATCAGGTCGGCCATTGCTTGCACGACAGCAGCTGCTATCGTTTTGGCTCGTGCTGGCTTGAAAACTGAAGTGCGGTGGCTGGCTGGCAGTTGGCTTGACAGCGCGGGAAACGCGGATTCCACTCTGGTCCGGCTGGGCTATGCTCCTGTTTAGGACTTCGATTTTGGTCTAGCAAGCTTTCACGACAACAACAACGAACCATTTTTGTCTGGCTGTCTTGAAAACTCCATGGTAAAATTATGACAGCCATAGGCAATTCACTCCCACCCACACGTAACACTGTACTGCACGCAGAATGTATTCGATATTAGCAGAAGCCGAGGGCTTTTGATCAAGGACAAGTGCTGACGGACAGCCCACAGTTCCAGTTTCACGCCTGTCGTCAAAGGTGGAGCAGATGCGTCGCCTCGCCAGAGGACACGTGTGGCGCGCAGCGACGGCCGTCAAGAGTGTTGACGGAACGAACTGCTACACCCTGTTTCGCGCCACACTGACATTCGCTGTATTGACTTGCCGCTTATTCTGACATCAACGCGTCCAAAACGGTCCCAGAACATAGCATATAAGCACAATTCGCCGCAATCAACCGTACGCGATAGCATTGTTTCTTTCATAAACCGTTGTGTATCGTTCTCCTGGACTGCATTTGCCCGCCACCTACCTGGGGTTCGGTTGTAAGCAACAGCCCGCAAAATCCAAGCACACGTTCGCACTGTAGCCGGGGCTCCCGATTGTCCGAACGTTGAGAAACAGGGTGTAACAAGCAACTGGACCAAAACCTGCCTGTTCTCCTGTCATTACAACGTTCCATTATAACAATCAGATTCAGCCTGACAGATACATTATTGTGCACATTCATTGTTTTGCACATTACACTACCTAGACAAATTAAGGGGATTATGCACAGCGCCAGACATGGCACGAGGCAGAGAATTCGGCACCAGCACATATTTGCCCCTCACGCCCAGCTTTCTGAGCACCGACTTCAACTGCTGGAGGTTCATTGTGCGAGGAACCACCGCATCAACGCCCGCATGCATGGACTGCTGCATCGCTTGGTCCAGCCCTGCCAAATCCCACCGGTTCATATTTGCCACCGCTATCACAATCGTGCGTGAAAAGGCACGTACACTTCCTGGGCCGTCTTGTAGTGAATCAGAAGCAACCACTCCAGCTACTCCTCGAAATGATGTTGCTTCGATCGCTGCTGCTGGTGATGATGATCGTTCTGTGTCTGCCTCAGCGTTACTGAAACAACCTCCAGCATTGGGCTCAGCAGCAGCAGGCCCTGGGAACTGGTTACCACCGGCATCAGCCACAGCACATTCTTCCCCATTCCTGAACTTCCCTCCCTGCCTTCCCCCCTCCACATCGCGAATGCTGCGGATGCATGCGAAGCCATCATGCACCATGGCCTGTTGACCAGCACACGGAAAACCCAAAGAGTTAGTTGGAATTCTCAGAAACATGAAGTGCGTGAGAGCTCTATTCTTAAAGCGACGGTGCACATTTGCCACCCAAAACCCAGAACCCTGGCGAACTGTTACTGCGGATGGAAAGTGTCCGCACGAAATCCTGGTTTTCGCCAGCCAGCACTTTCGCGCTGGCAAGCCTGGTTAAAAAAAAAAACTTCTGAACCCAACACTGCCAAAAGTTGCCCGTCGCTTTAAAGCACCAAAATCGTGAAACCCATCAGGTTTGCGATACACATGGCGCAAACCGCAAGGCACCCACATATGGACAACCGTGCAGCAGGGCTCACCTCTAGCTCCATGACCACGAGAGAGAAGGGTGCCTCTGCCTTTACTCCAGCCTCTCGCACATCCTCATCCGCTGCCATACCCTTGTCACTTGATGCCACTCCCTCTTCTCCTTCTCCTGATGCTCGCCACTGGTCACTCAGTGATGACTCGTCTCTGGAAGCTTCCACTGGCCACTGCTTGCCCGCGTCCTCCTCGTGCTTGCTTCCCGCACTCCCATTTCTCTCTTCAAACCCGTTTCCCTGTTGCGCAATCCCATTGAGTGGGAGATCGCACACCGACTGTTGGAACAATTCCACAGCCTCGGTGACTGTACCCGCCGTGACAACATCGAAGCCGCACCGCTCCAGCTGCTGCGGCAGGTCGTTGTGCAGAGCGCCCACCAGCCCCAATCCCGCGCCGCCACCTGTCGCCCCATCAGCCACCAGCGCGCGCACACACAGCGACGTGGACGGAGGCAACGAGGTGGTTTGGGAAGACGGGGTATAGGAGGAGTAGATATTCGCTGCGCAGGGGATGGCGGCTGATGAGGGGATAACAGCAGATGAGGGTATGTCAGCAGATAAGAAGGCTGTCGTTCCGGTTGCTACTCTGCCTGCTGCAAGGATGCTGCAGGCTCGCACTTGCTTCCCACCTGACAGCATGGTTCTAGGAGAACCAGTACCGCCAACTGCTGCTGCTACTGCTGGTGCTGTTCCTTCTGCTGATCCTTCGCCTCCTTCTGCTGCTGCTCCTGCTGCTCCTGCTCCTGCTGTCTCTGTCCCTTCCAACCATTCTGTAGTCGCTGTTGCAGCAGAAGTATCAACAGCAGCAGCAGCAGCACGTTCATCGTGCTTTTGAGTCAACTCAAAATCAGTTGCAGCAGAAGTATCAACAGCAGCAGCAGCAGCACGTTCATCGTGACCCCCAGCTGCTGAAGGCCGGTCCGCATTGGCCGAGAGTGGCAGGGCAGCAGATGGCTGCAGTAGAAGGGCGTCCGCTTCCCACCCGGGAGAGACGGGAGGGTACGGGGAGTGGGCCAGGGGCGACAGCAGCTGCACAGGCGTCAGCAACTGGTTGGTTCTTTCAAGGTGGGGATAACCTGCTCCCTTCCCCTCCCTCCTCCCTTCCTCTCGTTGCGCACTCCCCTCCCCTTCAAACGACCTCTCGCCCCCCTTGCTGCTGCATCTCTCGCCCTCGTGACCAGCAGGGCGCAGCACATCAGCTGCTCGCCACCGCTGCACCCGAATGGCAGGCAGACCCGCGGGCTGCCGCCCCGCTTCACCATTCCTCACTGATCCGGGCTGACTCGCTGCTGCATGCTGGATGGCCGCTGGTGCTGCTGCAGCAGGGGCAGCCGCAGGAGCAGCAGTAGCAGGGGCAGCCGCAGGAATCGCAACAGCAGGGTCAGCAGCAGGAGCAAGAACAGCAGCAGAAGGAGCAGCACCAGCAGCAGAAGCAGCAGGGGCAACAGCAGGAGCAGCACCAGCAGGAGCGGCAGGAGCAGGGGCAGCAGCCGTAGCAATAGCAGCAGCAGCAGCAGCAGCAGCAGCAGCAGCAGCAGCAGCAGCAGGAGAGCCAGGAGCGGCAGGAGCAGCACTCGTCGTGCTCACTCCAATCTTAGGCTGCTTTTCCGTTACGTCCGGAACACAGAGAATGCTAGAGGACGGTGACTGGGAATTGGAGGAAAGCGAATTACGCAGCAGATGAAACCGTTCTGCTTCCAGCTCTCGAAACTGGCGTTTCATCTCATGGTCACTCTCGTCAAAGTGCAGCCTGGGCGAGCGTTTCATCTCCAGAGCCAGGGGTTTCATCTCACAAGGTACTGGTGGAATGGAAACGGGATGCGCAGGAGTATATCTGATGCTCGTGGGGTTGACAGCACCAGGTGCAGGGAAGGCGTGCTCATGTGAGTGGGGGGGCGAGGAGGACTCGGGTGCAAGAGGAATGGGCGAGGATGATATCGGTGCTTTCGCCTTCTCTAGCACGGCGGCCCGTGCGGGGCTAGACAATAAAGCGCACGGGTTGCATGAGACAGTGTGAGCCGAGATGGGATGTGACGAGACAGTGTGAGCCGAGACGGCATGAGTTGAGATGGTATGGGAGGCATTGGAGGGGAGGAATCTGCGTGTTGCGCCCACGCCGCTGCTCTCCAGCACCTCCCGCGAGGGGAGAATCTCCCTGGGCGTGTGCAGCTCCGGGGGTCCCCTCACACCCTCGGGAATGTCGCCTGCTGATTCTGATGAGTCTGGTGATGCTGATGATGGTGATGATGGTGATGGTGATGATGCTGGTGATGCCATTCCATCTCTCATCTCCAACTCACATACTCTCACTCTCACTCTCGGTCTCTCCCTGTCCCCTTCTCTCCCCGTTTCTCCCTGCATTCCCCACTCTCGCTCGGCCCTCTTGGCTCTGTAAGCACCGTCAGATCCAGGCGAGGTGATGAGATCGCACGGTCGGGAGCGACTGAAAGGAGAGAGACAGACAGGGGAGTCACAACGAGGAGACACAGACGAATGACCAAAAGGGATTTCTTTGTCCCCCCTGCCGCTGCACCTGCCGCCACACCTCTTCTCTTTCGCCCTCCCCTCCCCACCAACCGCACCCCTCCCATCCAGACCCCCACTGCTGCTGCCACTGCAGCGACTGAATATGCTGCTGTGACCTTCTCGTGTATTCTCCCCGGCTTGGCTGCAACCCCCCCGTCCCCAGTTGCCCCCTCCCCCACCTCCTGCCTCCCTCTCTCTTTCTCCTGCTCCTCCCTCTCCGTCCGTCTGCTGCTTCGCTGCACACGAAGCAACTCTCTGCGCCCCACCAGCTTGAGCCGAGCCAGCAGCAGCGGCAACGATGGGGGCAGCAGCCGCCTTAGCGACTGCTGTAGTAGCAGCGACGGCTGTAGCAACACCAACGGCTGTAGCAGCAGCAGCAGCAGCGGCGGCGGCAGATGGTCGAGGTGGAGTGAGAGAAGCAAGTGGGGCGACAGGAGGCGGCATGTGCAAGGGCATGGGCAAGGGCATGGGCGAGGGCATGGGCGAGGGCATGGGCGAGGGCATGGGCGTGGGCATGGGCATGGGCATGGGCACGGGAGGGGGCGTGTGGAGTGGCATGACGACGCAGAGCACACCATTGGCGGCCCCCACGGCGTCTGTGCGCATGCACGCGTGCACCTGCACCCATAACTCCCGCCCAAGCAACGATTGCTCGGGTGATCCCTGCACTCGTAACTCACGCCCAGGCGATGACTGCTGGGCTGGTCCCTGCCCAGTCGCCGCCAGGCCACGTTTCACGTCGCTCTCTGTGTCGCAATCTGTGTCGCAATCTGTGTCGCACCCTCTGTTGCACTCTGCTTCACGTGGGGTGCGCGCGGCGAGCAGCATGGTCTGGCTGATGGGCTCTGGTCGCAGCATGGCGGCTCGCAGCATGTCGCTGGCGTGCCTGTGGAACGGGGGAGAGGGGGGCAGTGGGGACGAGAGAGAGGGGGGAATAGCTTTTAGTCGGGCCGGTAAAGGGGGGCGAGCAGCATGGTCTGGCTGATGGGCTCTGGTCGCAGCATGGCGGCACGCAGCATGTCGCTGGCGTGGCTGGGAAACCGCGGAGAGAGGGAGAGGGAGAGTGCGAGAGAGAGGGGGAGGGAGGCGGGAGTGAGAGGATTGGGGAGTGGGGAAGGCTTCCGGTTTTGCTGACTTGGCTCGGCCCAGCAATTTTGACCAAACCTGCAACCCCTGCTCTCAACTCCCACCCTTCCCTCCCCCTTCCCCCTTACCCATCATCTCCCTTTCCTCTCCCCACTCACTCGTGTGCAGACCCTTTCGCGGGACGCAGGAGCCTTCCCGAAAACCTCCCCATCTGCGCCACATCATCCCGGCTCCAGCCTGTCAGCTTCGCCATTCGTCGGTTCCACATCACAAATGTCAGGTCCCTGCCGGGGATTGCGGCGGAGGGGCGAGATGGGAGGTGGGAGAGGGGCACAAGGAGGCACAGGGTAAGTCGAAGGCAAATACGCCTGTAGAAAGAAAGAAAGAAACAAAAGAGCGGAACAAACTACGCCTGTAGTTCCTGACGGGCTCTTCACGTGCAATCACTTGTTGCCTGACCTCCTAACCTGTTCGTACCTAATGCAACCGCAACTAACCTCTCCATATCACTCACCTATCCACGGCGAAGGCGGCGACGGGCAGTTCGTCGGCTGGGATCAGCGAATCCGGGCACCATCGGAATCGACGGTCGTCAGACGGCGACGCCATCTGCGGCCCGGCGAGCTCCAGCACGAAGTCTAGCGCTGCGCGCCGATGCGCGCTTGTATCCTCCTCCTCTTCCGCTTCCTCCTCCTCCCTGCCGCGCAATCCGCTCCCATCTCCGCAGTCGCTTCCGCCGCATTCTCCGCCGCTGCCGTTGCTGCTACTACTGCCACCGCTGCTGTCGAGGCGGGGGCCGCGGGGAGAAACGGGGGCGTGCGGGAGCGAACTGAGCGGATTGCGCGGTGGATTGCGCGGCGTATTCCACGGATTCAGCTGCGGATTGTAAGACGCTCCGGAAGAACTGGGTGGAAGCGTTGACAGCAGCGGCAGCGGCAGCGGCAGCGGCGGCGGGGTCTTAGATAGCTGGCGACGAGTGGCTGCTACAGCATCGTTTGCGGCGAGCGAGCATAAGAAGTCGGAGGAATTATCGACCCGGGATGGCAAAAGCGCGGGAAAAACTGGCCACTGCTTCGGCTGCGTGAAAGACGGAGGCCGAGGGAGAATGAGACTGTTTGATTGACGTGTCGACACAGGGAAATGACGAGGCGGGTCGAGCTGCTGACGTGGAGCGGTCTTTGGCTGACAAGGCATGCTGAGGAGGTCCGCCCATCCTTGTGAGCACGTGGAATTGTCTCCAAATGGAACGCTGTAATCGCGCCACGTGTCGTCCGGGCACCCTGGAGCCATGTCTTGCCACGTGTCGCGCATCCGTTCACAGGTCGAGCTTGAAGAGAACAGCTGTGATTGCACCGGACGATGGGAGAGCCACGTGGACATGTGACTTCAGTGAACAAACGGAAGGATTGAAGAGAATCTCTCGTAACAAGCGAAGGCACGGGAGGTGAAGCGAATGGCAGATGTTTCTAGCAATAATTGCTTTCGTTTGGAATCCTTTTCTGTGACCCTCTCATTAGTACTAACGTTGCGTACGACCGATAACTGAACGAACGTGGGAGAGGGAGACAGAGGCTAGTAAAAGCCGTGGCATCCAGAGACGCAACGAGGTACGGAATCAAGAGGTTATATTGTGCTACGGAAGAAACCAGCGACCCAGGAGATACTCATGCGTGACGAGAACATAAGGCCAATCCAAACTGAGCCTTCAAGGATGTGTCCCTGATCAACCAAAAAAACTCAGCAGCTTACGAAGCCACAGTAGTTTCGGGGTCAGGGAGCTTGCCGCTTTTCTCGCTATGGGTTTTCTGCGGCAATCTCAAGGTTTCATGGATAGGATCAGAAAAACCGACATGCAACCCCCTAAACCCATTCGAAACGATCTGTCCTCCGCGAGTGCAGTACCACTACACCATGCTGCATGCGAGGGTGATCTTCCCAAAAGCGGGGAAGGAGATGCTTTGGTAAGTTGGATATTTCTGAGCTCAACGGCGTTCGTCATGAACAGTCCCTCAGTCGTCGCCCACTAATCAATGTGCTTTGCGCGAAACTAAGTTGTTGAAGCTGTCCAGAATATGCGATACCTTGCGAAAGTATCTGGTGCTCCCAAGGGTGCATCACTGCCCTAACACCAACCGTTGATTCCCGCGGACAGCGGGGGGACCAGTGAATCAGAAACGCGCTTCGCTCATTGTGTGGAGGGAGCGTGGTGCAGCTGACAGGCAGGCAGGCTCATCAGGCAGGGAGCCACCCCTTCTGTCTGGGATTGCCCCGAATCGCTCGCCATGTGGGAACGAACTGTGCTGTTTAGCGAATGGGATGTCTTTATGCGGGCAATGTTGGTCACGGATACACGTCATGACGGAGTCATTTTCCAGCTAAAGCAATGCCAGGAGCGGAAAGTTCCGCAGTTCGGGATAGGAAGCACGTCACCGCCTGTGCTGCCACGTCATGGAACGAAAAGGAGAATAACGCCAATGCCTGTTGGCATAGATATTTCGCATGGCTTATTGATTGATGATGACAATCACAAACCTCCAAACCCCCGACAAGCCCAAAACGGGTATTCAACACATGTAAACAGGCATATATAGGAACCCATGTTTAGCAATCTTATGTCCTAGCGGTACTTGTACATTCTTTACTACGACTTCCTCCCCTATGCATGTCCACATTAACCTCTTGGAGGTATCCCTCGATTATTCAGCTGCACCCACCAATCATCTTCCGTCCACCCCCCTCGCACCCGCGCACATCTCGTCGTTGTAAATGCTCGTACATTTCCCTCATTTTGCACTATCGCCCCCCTGATTTCAGCACGTGCATTTCAGTTACACACCCACATGTCAGAATGTTATTGTATACATCACTTTATAACTGCCTGCAATGTAGACTTAGTGTAGTTACCTTGCTTGTTAGGTGGTGCACCTTGCTTCACTTCTTTCATATTTGTACCCTTGAACCTATAGTGAAACCCTCATTCCCCTTCACAACTTTCTCGACACTCTCCTCACCCTCGAACTTAACTACCAAGGCTCCTAAGCTATGGCTCCCAAGCCCACCTAACTCTACCTACTTCTCTCACATGGAATCAGAGCGACTACGCTCTTGGCCTGTGGGCCCCACGTGCTTCCGCTGCTTTCTTTTCTGTCGCGCGCCCCGTGGCGCGCGACACTTTTTTCTTCCCGCCACGCGCTCGGGGCGCGTGGCGGTTTTCCGCACGCCGTGCGCCCCGGACGCGCGGACGCCGCCCTTCTCGGCCCCTCACGGCCTCTTCGCGGCCCCGTCGCTGCTCCTCTCACGGCCCCTCGCGCTACCCTCGGTGGCCCCGTCGCCACACTTCGCGGCCCTGTCGCCGCCCCATCTCGGCACTGTCGCCGCCTTTAGCGGCCCCGTTGCCGCCCCTAGCGGCCCCGTCGCCGCTCTTCGCGGCCCCGTTGCCGCCCCTAGCGGCTCCGTTGCCGCCCCTTGTGGCCCTGTCACCTGCTCGTTGCGGCGCACCCCCCCCTGGCCGCCGCCTCTGCCTCCCTTGCGCCCGTGCCTGCTTTGCAGCAGCGCGCGGGCCTGCCTTGCAACAGCAGCCGCCCCTGGAGCAGCCACCCCAGCAGCAGCCGCCCCAGCAGCAGCCGCCCCTGGAGCAGCCGCCGCTGCAGCAGCCGCCCCTGGAGCCGCCGCCCCTGGAGCAGCCGTCACTGCAGCAGCCGCCCCTGGAGCCGCCACTGCAGCAGCAGCCCCTGGAGCAGCCGCCCCTGCAGCAGCCGCCCCTGGAGCAACCGCCGCTGCAGCAGCCGCCCCTGGAGCAGCCGTCACTGCAGCAGCCGCCCCTGGAGCCACCGCTGCAGCAGCAGCCCCTGGAGCAGCCGCCACTGCAGCAGCCGCCCCAGCAGCCGCTACCCCTGCAGCAGCCGCCCCTGAAGCGGCCGCCCCTGCAGCAGCCGCCCCTGGAGCAGCCCGCAACTGCAGCAGCCGCCCCTGGAGCAGCCTGCACCTGCAGCAGCCGCCCCTGGAGCAGCCCTCAACCGCAGCAGCCGCCCCTGGAGCAGCCCGCACCTGCAGCAGCCGCCCCTGGAGCAGCCCGCAACTGCAGCAGCCGCCCCTGGAGCAGCCTGCACCTGCAGCAGCCGCCCCTGGAGCAGCCCTCAACCGCAGCAGCCGCCCCTGGAGCAGCCCGCACCTGCAGCAGCCGCCCCTGGAGCAGCCAGCAACTGCAGCAGCCGCCCCTGGAGCAGCCCGCACCTGCAGCGGCCGCCCCTGGAGCAGCCCGCACCTGCAGCCCGTCCCGTTCCCCCCCCCCCCCCCCCCCCGTGCATTCCGTGGTGCTGGGGGTGTGGGGTGCCGAGCATGGGGGTGGCGGGTGTGGGGGTGGCGGTTATGTGTTCCTCCCCTTGCTCCTCCTCCTCCCTCGTCTCCCACTGCTGCAGCTGTCGCTGAGGGGGGTGGGTGTGTGGGAGCCTAGGGTTTAGGGTTTAAGGGGGGTGCTGTGGGAGTGGAGCTAGGGTTTGAACAGGGAGTGTGTGAGAGGGGAGTGGGGCAGCTGGGGGAGGTTGTGTGAAGGTAGCTGTCGTATCGCCTGCAGCGCCTGTAGTCCGTCGCCCTTGCTTCGGTAGCCAGTGAGCCTGTTGCACCAGTCGCCAGTGGGTCCGTTGCTCCTGCCGCTCGTCTATAGCCGCGGAGCCAGTCACTCCAGTAGTCCGTCGCCCTTGCTTCGGTAGCCACTGAGTCAGCCGCTCCTGTGCCCGTGCCTCTGCAGCTTCAGTCGTTGCCTCGCATCTTCTCTTCCTCCACAGTCTCTCCTCCTCATTTGCCCTCTCTGTCTGCTGCGCTCTACTTGGTGTACCCCTTCCGGGGGTGTTTCTGCACATGGTTCTTCACTGCAGGCAGTTAGGGGGTGTGTCAGAATGTTATTGTATACATCACTTTATAACTGCCTGCAATGTAGACTTAGTGTAGTTACCTTGCTTGTTAGGTGGTGCACCTTGCTTCACTTCTTTCATATTTGTACCCTTGAACCTATAGTGAAACCCTCATTCCCCTTCACAACTTTCTCGACACTCTCCTCACCCTCGAACTTAACTACCAAGGCTCCTAAGCTATGGCTCCCAAGCCCACCTAACTCTACCTACTTCTCTCACACCACACACATCTGGAATACAAAAATCTAATTAAGGCCTGCCTAACCATAATCCTCGTACAGTTCCAGGATTGACAAACCTGGCGGGTGTTGGAAACAATTGATTTAACGCCTCTGTCGTGTCGAAACACCAAGTCATAAGCGAAGCGAAACATATCGAAGCATTAGCGAGTCAACCCTCGGAGGTTGAACAACTGCTGGAGGTTACGCGAAAGTCAAAGGTCAGCGACCTTTGACCTGACAAGTACAGCGCGACAGCAAGGACAAACAACTGACTCGCTACTGAGCAGTTGCCCGAGTCGTCACTGTATCGAACCGCAACAGCAATAGTAAAACGGTTATTAACTGTATCTCTTCGTATTCCTTGTATTCTTATAAAAGGTTGTATCTCTTTGTTTTAATCAATCTACTTTGCCCTCACATACCAGCGCAAGGTGGTTCACAAACTTCTCATTAAACGCTTCCGCTACTACATTGTGTCAAAGTATATGCATGTTATATATGCGTAGGCTGTAGTGGGGTAGCCAATATGGGGTACAGCCCCTTTTAGAGTTTCATACTTGTACCCAACTCTTTCATAGTTCATCCATTTCCTGCTACTAGATTCTGACATGGTTTCAGAGCACTAGGTCCGTAGGACCGTTTTTTTTTTTTCGGGCCCACCTACCGTTGCGGTTACCGTGTTACCCCACGTGTTGTCCTGCCTGCCTGCCTTGCCTTGTGACGTGCTGCGCTACGCGCGCCGTCCTGCAGCCCTCGTACTGCCCACTGCTGCCCTAGGCCAGAGCGCCGCCCCTGCAGGCCCGTAAGGCTCACGCGCCGCGCCTGCAGACACGTCAGGCCTGCGCGCCGCCCCTGCAGGCCCGTTAGGCCAGGGCGCCGCCCCGCCAGCCGCGGCTGCCGTCCTCGCGCAGCCCGCGGCGGCTTCGCGCGCCGCGTTTGCAGCTCGCGTGGTGCGCTGCAGCACCGCGCGCCGCGGCTGCCCCTGGACGCCGCCGTCGCTCCTGCAGCAGCTGCCACGGAGCGCCCTGCCGCAGTCGCGGCCCCGCCCTGCAGCACCTGCCGCGGAGCCTACTGCCGCCGTCGCGACCCTGCCCTGCAGCAGCTGCCGTGGAGCCTGCTGCCGCCGTCACTTCCGCGCCCTGCAGCAGCTGTCGCGGAC